ATCTCTGGTGCATGCATATCTGTGTGAAAAAGTGCTCTATTCTTTTGAAGACCCATATTGCTCCAGGTCTGTAGGCGGCTACTCTAATGTCTGAGTATGTACTCTAAACATGATTAGGCCTTGGACAGGGGTCAAAAGGGTCATGAGACCCATAAATAAAAGAGATGTTAGGCCTACTACTACTTCCACCACAGAAGGACTACCACTACAAATAAGAGGTCAGAGACAACCAAATCTAAGTAGGGTTCGTGCTAGCCGGGATCCTTGGGACATCATTCCCAAAACCAAGGTCCCCAGATAGCATGGACCATCTAAGTAGACACCCCCAACTATTATATAATAACTATTTAGTTTCATCTCTGGTATGCCATGAAAAGGTAGCAAGTCTGCTAATTTGAGCATTTAGGAGAGCTTCCATCCTGCCTGTCAAGAAGGCACAACCAATGCTTACACCTCTCAGCCTTTTTCTTCCCATATTTGACACACAAGAAATGACAATGGGCGTGATGATTAAAATTCAAAGGGATAGACATACACTATTTATCATGCCATTCCACATGCGTTTCTTCTATGGAGATGGTGTCGCCATTTAGAACGTTTGGATAAGTGTCATGACTAACACTGAACCTAAAGGCTATAGTGTGCACAGTGCAACTTTTGACAACTTCAAAAGCACCTGTATGAACTGTAATGAGACGAGATGTTGTAAAAAAAAAAAAAAACGCTGATAGTATATTTGAGGCCTATCAGCGTAAAGCCAATTAATATGGGTGGTGCGGGAACCTCACGTTTTTATGCTAACAAACAAACCGATAGACTTCTGCCAAAGTGTTTTCTAAAATAAAGCAAATCATTTACGCAGGAGTTTATTGTCATTGTCCCGTTCAAAGAAGGGAAACCTGACATAAAAAGTGGATAAACAAGGTTAAATTCGAAGCTATTGCATGTAGTTTAGTCTACACTTTTCTCCCTGTTGGGTCCAGATATTAAAACAAATCTCTGGCCGTCGATTAAACCAAGATCTTGAAGAAATCCCCGCAGCCTCGAAATACATGACTTTCTCTCCACACATAGCCTACTTTACGCTATGCTGAATAGAAAACGGCTGAGATTAGAAAAGGACACAGTATGAAATTTACCTAAGTCGTCCATACTTCCAGCGTTGGCTTCACCAGTGAAAAGTTGTTCCTGTAAAGTTTTAACAATTTTTCGGTGTCCGTGGTTTCCTTTCAAAATCTCAACAGTTTACTGTGGTGAAGTGAAGTACGGTACAGTACCGGCGCTGCGATGTGTACTTCACTGCGACGCGCATTTATATAGCCGCCCTAAGCAATAGCCGACATGAAAGTAGCCTAATTTAGCAGGCGTAAAAGAACCTGGGCAGTGTAAAGAACTTTGATAAAGGGCGGCCTCTAGCGAGTGATAACAAAATGTATACAAAATAGCCTACTGTATCAGACAGGCTGCCACAAAGAAACATTGTTATATGAAAACATTGTAACTGCGACTGATGAAGAAACACTGTTACACAAGTCAATACATAATTTACAGCAGCTACTCCTACCTATATTGTTATTATATGCATAGTAGCCTATTAATTGGACCTTACAAGGCAGCCAGAGGTAAATTCCACCTCAATAAAGCAAATTATTTTTATATTATTTTCTTCAGGTAGGCTTTTTTTCCCTCCAATTTGTGAAAAATGTAATCCTAACACAAGTATGTGTAAGAAGTCTCTTGAGGAATGTTTCAGAGAGACTAAATCAGAAGAAGCCATGCAAAAGTTGAATAGCTTTAATGACACACAAGAGTCACCATATAAAATACACTTGTATTTCAATCATCAGCTGACAGAGGTTTCATAATGCACTGACTCACTGACCACATAGCCAAATGTAAATTGCATTTGGATTCCAGCAATTGCAAGAAATACATTTTTAATCATTCTCACTTCCCCATTGCAACTGCTGGGCCCTCTAGGGTGTGGTGCGGTCAGCCCAGCGAATCACCGGTGGCACACTGCCTGCCCTCCAGGACATCTACAGCACCCAGTGTCACAGGAAGGCGAAAACGATCATCAAGGACCTCAGCCACCTGAGCCACGGCCTGTTCTCCCGTTACCCTCTAGAACAGAGATGTCAAACTCATTCCACGGAGGGCAGAGTGTCTGCAGGTTTCTGGTTTTTCCTTTCAATTAAGACCTAGACAACCAGGTGAAGGGAGTTCTTTACTAATTAGTGACCTTAATTCATCAATAAAGTACAAGGGTGGAGCGAAAACCCATAGACACTCGGCCCTCCGTAGAATGAGTTTGACTCGTGCTCTAGAAGGCGGAGACAGTACAGGTGCATCAAAGCTGGGACCGAGAGACTAAAAAACAGCTTCTATCTCCAGGCCATCAGACTGTTAAATAGCCATCACTAGCCGGCAACCACCTGGTTACTCAACCCTGCACCTTAGAGGCTGCTGCCCTATGTACATAGTCACTGAACACTGGTCACTTTAATGTTTACATACTGTTTTACCCACTTTATATGTATATTCTGTATTCTAGTCATGGCTCATCCTATATAACTACTGCTGTACACACCTTTCTATTCATATACTGTCTATACAAACCATTTACAGTTACAGCCAAATTTACATTGGCATCCTTACATTTTTCTTAAATAATTCTCTATTTCAGATCTGAACTCTTCACTGGCCACTCCAGAACAGTCCAGCACCTCTTCTTGAACCATTTCTGGGTGCTTTTCGATGCGTTTTTGGGGTCGTTGTCCTGCTGGAAGACCCAGAACCTTCAATGCAGAGACAGCTTTTGGATGCTGGGTTTAACATTGGACTCTAAAACTAGTGGTCCTCTGTAGCTCAGCTGGTAGAGCACGGCGCTTGTAACGCCAAGGTAGTGGGTTCGATCCCCGGGACCACCCATACACAAAAATGTATGCACGCATGACTGTAAGTCGCTTTGGATAAAAGCGTCTGCTAAATGGCATATTATCTTATATTATAAAACACCTGATAATCTGTTGATTTCATGATGCCTGCACGTTCAAGGCCTCCAGTACCCGAGGCAGCAAAGCAACCCCACAGCATTATCAAACCTCCATCATCTTTGTTTGTAGACAGTTATTTTCATTGAATGCTTCATTTGGTCATCAGTAAAAACACCACAGAACATTTCCCCCAGGATTTTGGCTTGTTTAGTTGGGTTTTGGAGAAGTTCCACCAGGCTTTCTTGTCTCTTTCAGCAGTCAGGTCTTCCTATATTTACCAACGACCAAATTAAGCATTCAAAGAAAATAACACCCTCCCTACAATCAAAATTGGGGGAGGTTCGATAATGCTGTGGGGTTGCTTTGCTGCCTCGGGTACTGGGGGCCTTGAATGTGTGCAAGACATTATGAAATCAGCAGATTATCAAGGTGTTTTGGAGTCCAATAATCAACCCAGTGTCCAAAAAATCTGTCTCTGTTAAAGGTTGTGGGTCTTCTAGAAGGACAACGACACCAAACACACATAAAAAGTACCCAGGAATGGTTCAAGAAGAGATGCTGGACTGTTCAGGGACCAGTTTCCCAAAAGCATCTTAAGGCTAAGTTCATCGCTAGAACCTTCGTAGGAGCATCGTTAAATCGCTGAGCTGTTTCCCAAAACCATCGTTATTAACGTTGCATTTAAACGCTCATAATCTAACCCCTGCCTCAGACCACTCGTAGAACCGCTAAGTGCGTTGTTAGATGCTTTCTTTGCCCTCCCGTTATACACAGAGGATCTCTGCTAAACATAGAATCACATGGTTTATCCGCCTCTCTGTAACCACTGATAACTTCAAAACAAAGTTGACTACAAATACAAAGTTGCCAATGTCTTTGCAATTGATAAACAATCAACGTATAAAAAGACACTTCAAATTACAACCGAGATGACTGCATTAAAATACAAATGCAGTAGGCTATTGGCCTACATCAATCATATTGAAATACATTTCATGTTCAATCAATTGAGTTCTATTTTGCTACTTGTAGGCTACTGTCTGTCATTTGTCTCAATATATTTAATGATGTGTATCCTAACATGAGCGCAATGATGTGCCAAATTTGATTTAGTGCATTATTATAGGGTAAGCATTAGAATAAGCCGCCTCAATATTTGCATCCATAGGTGATAATATTTTTCTAGGTGCTGATCCGTCGTCAGTATTGTGGAATAATTCTAATGTTATTGTAAGATTTGAATGGAGAAAGCTGATCCGAGAGCAGCGTTACCCTTCTTTTGATCCTATCAGTATCGACACATGCCTCAACGACGCACTTAGTGACCGTTCTCTCTGCATGGTGTTTTGGGAAACGTATGTTACATCTTCAGCCGTTGTAGGAAAGATGCATCGTTAACACACTAGTAAGCCTAAGTTCCATAGCTATCGGGAAACCGGGCCCTGGAGTGGCCTGCGAAAAGAAAAGATCTGAATCACATCCATAACCTATAGCGAGAGCTGAAAACAACAGTTGGTGGAGGGCACCCCTCAAACATTTAAGAATTAGAGCAGTTTGCTGCTGAACAGTGGGCCAAATTGCCAGTGGGAAGGTGCAGCAATCTCATTGATAGCTACAATAAGCATAGTTGGCAGTTATCTGGGCCGAGGGCAGTGAAACCATGTACTAGCTCCGGGGTGTCAATAATTTTGTCCATGCCATGTCTTTATTTTCTAAATTAAAATTGTAAACTTAAGTTTACAAAAATAAAATTGGTTCTGCAATGTTGAAAATCAAATAACAAGGTGTGGATATCTGTGTACACGACCAATAACATTGATTTGAGTGGCTGACAAGGGACACCTCTGGCTACTCTTTCATTAGAGGCAACGTAACATCTCTACTTCAATTCCAAGCTGAACCTTAAAAACAACTCCACATCTGGTTGTGTCATCTTGGGTCACTAATTTCAAAGTGTCACTTAACAGAAACAGTGGTGGTGATCCTGTTCTGCCTATTCGCCTCTCAGAAGTCCACAGCCTTGAGCTTCCTCTCCTCTACCTGGGTCAGAGGCTGCTGTGATAGGATCTTCCTGTGGAGGCGGTGGTGCTTTCCGATTCCTAGTCTGGGCAGGCCGCGGTTCAGACCCTCCAGCAGCACACAGGACTTACACAACGCCTGGCTGGAGATGTAGCCACAGCGGCTGCAGGTCCCCTGAACGGGCATCTTCACGCCCTCCCTCACTGACAGGTTCTCCCCAGAGTGGATGACGTCCATGATGGCGCTGGGCCGCACAGCCTCCAGGTCTTTCAGGAAGGTGCGGGCGTGGCCTCGGTAGGCGTTGGGGGAGTAGATGCACTCTGTGGAGAAGTAGTCCAGCTTCTTGAAATAGGCGTAGAGGACAATCTCCTTCTCGTAAGCATATTTGAGGGGCTTGCAGCGTGGCACCACCCCTTCGCCCTCGCTGGCTGTGCTGATGGCAGTGCAGCGACGCAGACGGGCGATGTCTCCTCGGAGGACGTTCATCAGAACTGTCTCTGCCACATCGTCAGCATTGTGACCTGAGAACAGAATCACACACAGGAACAGTGTTTAAAAATCAGTCCCTCCAGGAATTCGCAATTTTTTTGTGATAGTTGCAGGCCAAAATTCTTGATTTTGCTGAGGTATTGATTACATTTTGCATGGCAATTTGAGCAAATTTGGTCTAATTTGTCACGAAAATGCGCTGACGAAGCGAAAAAAGTTTGTTGACATGTTGCTTGATCAAACCATTTTATGCTGTAAAAGTATAAAATGGTTGATTGGTTAAAATTGAGCGCCCTTTTTTTGTAGTGCGGTGATCGAAGAATTGCAAAATCCTGGAGGGACTATTTAAAGTACACCTCATCTGAAATAAGAGATCAAATAAGCCTGATCAATAAGAATATGTTTCTTATATATTACCTGTACATATCTTATCAACCTTCAGCATCATGGCTCCCCTGTCCAGTGCCTGCCTTCGGAACACGCCACAGAAAGTGCAATTGTTTTTCAGTCCGACCTGCTTCACAATGGCATCCATGGTCCAGCCATACAACTCCTCATAGGATACAATCTTCAGAGGCAGCTCATACTGCTGTTGGTTCCTCTTCACAGTCTCCAAGGAGTCGTCACGGTAACCTGTGATGCCCTCGTCCACTGACAGTAGCAGTAGTTTCAGGCCATAGTTATAGCGCTCATTTAGGACCTTCATGATGTGTGCCAGCACAGTGGAGTCCTTCCCACCCGAGGCACCAATGCCCACAGTTTCTCCATGTTTGAAGAGCTGCGCTGACACTATTGTCTGATGCACCTCCTCCTCAAAGGCCCAGAAGAAGCATTCTTTGCACAGGGAATGGGCCGTCTTTGGACGTTTCAGCACTGCACGCTTCTCAGCACAGCTGCTACAGAGGACTGGCATCTTGACTGTGGATGACAGGAGAGTTTGCTATATGAAGGCAATAGCATAAATGACCCCTTACAAGGTTGAAGTATTCATCTGTGTTATAAGAGTTATAGGATGTCAACAGACTAACGTTACTAGACAGCTAAGGGTTCTGCAGATAGACTGAAGTTTCTGCAGAATACTGGACAACCTGTGCAAATAACAGTTATCTCCTAGCTAGCAAGTTAGCTAAATATGCTAGCTAGCTAGCACTTACTTAAACTGTAATAAAAGCTGAAAAGTATTTAAACGCGTTACCAAACTCCAATTGAAAGTATGTAAAGTCTCGCCTACGACTATGTAGCAGTGATCGTAGCTCTGTGTATCATGTCTAAACTTGCTGCTAATAGTATCTTACCGATGCTACCTCATGTTCTTCTTTCTTTTCCGGTGTTGTTATTCATGACAGGAAATTACGTCAATGTCAATGCTTGACGGGTAACCAATCACAGCATATTATAATAATAATGCACTATTTCCTCTAGTTACTGGATTCCTCTGTAGCATTCTGTTTCATATAATGATGAGGTTCTGATAGTATCTGCAGACTTTTAAAGGCCTCCTATGAAATTGGACCAAGTCACATATTCAGTTTTAAATTTGATACCATTACAATTATTCATCATCCAATCACTCTTCCACCTACATATTTCTGTCTGGAAAGCAATAGATGCTGTTGTGGCTCAGTAATTGAAAGGTAAATTTTTTGTTCAGATAAACAATACAGGAGAACAAAGTTGAGTCACACAACCACTTGAAATGTAAGCAACAAGGATTTATTAGTTTGCTTTAAAGGATGGTGCTACGGAAACAATGGCAATAGGCATCAAAATGCAATTTTGAGTAGGTGAGGGGGGAGGGGTGTGTGAAGGCGCAGGGTTGCAGGGGTCAGGGCTTGGTGCAGGAAAGAGTCATATAAGCTTAGTTGGTGCCGGCGGCAGGGTGAAAAACTCCCCTCTGGTGCCACTGCATGTCTCGGATGCGCCTGACGGACTGGATCTGAGGGAACTGGGCACCAAACTCAGCACTGTCCTTGTATTCACCCTTCTCAAACAGGTACTGATAGCCTCTGTAGCCAGGATACTGGTACCCCACCCAACTGGTACACAACCAGCAGAGGTGTGAGATTGATGGAATGGGAGAGGAAAAAAATTAGAAAAGTATTTAAAGAAGAAAGCCGTGGAGATAAGATCAATACATGTAATTAGGAGAAAATAGCAATATGATATGGCAATGTTGGGGCAGATATAACTCTGCTGTTGGCGGACAGACTCACGTGCCACTCTGAACTCTGACAGAGGAGACCTTCTCTTGGTATCCGTGTGCGTGGAAGCTGGGAACATCATCATCTATGATCTCGATCTTCTTCCCCGCAAAACTGGGGTTTTCATAAAGGACAATCTTGTGCTCCTGGCTGTCCTGTGAGGAGAATAGAAAACACACCATAAGAAACAGTCACAGAGAACTACAAAATGGCTGAAGAAAATGGCTGATTTGTGTTGTAGTAACAAAGGGGGTGCTGTGTTACCACTTTAATGGGGCGGAATGCAAAGATGTTGTCGCTACGTCTGCTGTTGGTCCAGGAATCCCAGCGAGGATACTCCCCCTTCTCAAACACATACTGCTCCCCCTTACAGTTAGCCTGCTCGTATCCCACCCATCTGAGAAAGCACAGATGAGTCAAGATGAGGAGGGCACAAGGTGGTGGAGGGGGGGGAAGTGAAGGATGACAAAAACAAGATTAAAGGTGAATATACATACTGTGCCGTGTGCACAATGCAGTGACTATATTTGTGTTATGGAATGTTCTGGAAGTGTTTTCCTGTACAGAACCATTTTAATTTATCCAATCAGCAATCCCTTTTTTTCTATTGTTTGATAATCACACCATATCTACCCCTCCCTCCGACACACACACACACATACAAACAATCACACACCTCTATCTAACCCTCTTTGTTTTTGTCTCTTTCTATCTTTCTGGTTTTTTTTTTACTCTTACTCATACTCCCTCTCTCTCTTTCCCTCTCTCTATCATACTATCTCTGAGCCACACTCACGGTCCACACAGCACCAGTATGGAGCCCACTTTCTCCACGTCTGCTTCCTGGAGGTCGTTACAGGGACCAGTCAGCTCATGGCAACGCCCCTGGAAGTTCTCCTGTTCATAGATGATCAACTGTGGAAGACAGGGAGAAACAAAATGTATGTTTAGGTCTCCTTGCTGTGCTCGGCCTGTCGGCATCTCAAGTTGTACAGGGAAATGATGTTGAATACTGCGTAACATCTGCTTTGAAAAACCTTGCAGTGTGTCATTGTCCCTGATCCACCATGCCTTGCCCCACCATTACCCATCCCCCTTTCCTGCCCTCCTCTGCCTCTCCCTCCCCAATCTCCGCCTCACCTTGAAAGCACTGGTGCCTGGCTGCTGCTGCTTGGATGCAGGGTTCTGGTGGTCTGTGGCCATAGTGAACCGGATGGGTTATGATGAAACTGTACAGAGAACAACATAGTTTTACGGTCCAGTAGACTAATTACAAATGTTTATATTCCAATGGGTAGTTTGCAGTTTGATAGGATAGTGGCAAAAACATGAAATAATAGTGCCAGAAAATCTGCAGTTAAATTCTGCATGAAGCTGGTTCATGTATGTAAACAAAAGTCCCCTACTAAAAAAGATTCCAGCAAAAGCAGTTAAATTGAAACAGTCCTCATGTTAATCTATTTGTTTGTAAGTTAAATAGTTTAATGTATAATGTCAAATAATTATGTTATCCCAACATTTAAATAAACTAATCTCAAAATTATGTTTGTTTTAAAAATCTAGACAAAGTTGGATCAAAATTATAACAAAATAAATTAATGTGGAGAGCGACGGACGTGAATCTCTTACCAGTACCTGTCTGTGCCAGTGTGTTTGTGATGGCATGCCGAGCTCAATATATATACGGCGCGCTCAGGGGTGGAAACTCTGCCAACACTCCTCTACATCCAAGCCACCCTCCAGATCAGCCTGCAATAGGCCGAGCAGACGGGACTGTAGGGTCACCGCTCTGCCTGGCCCCCCTTCTCACTCCCCCTCAAAGTTATTTCATTAGTTGTCAATTTCATCCAGCCGGTCATTGTTCGATATCCACATGATTCAGCACAATCAGTGCCAAGAGTCCCACACTTACAATGAGAGCTGCCTGTATGCCTGGACCACCAGAGAGGGAGAGAGTAAGAGGATGAGATAGAGAAGGGAGAGTGCCAAATTGATAGAAAGGGACTGATTTAACTTACAATATCTAGTATTTCAGTTTACTCTTCCATAGGAATAATGGTTAACATAATAACCAGTAATTGGGTCGTTATTGGCAATGATTTCTATTGGAGATAATTTACATTTTACATTTACATTTTAGTCATTTACAATTAGTGCATTCATCTTAAGATCGCTAGGTGAGACAACCACATATCACAGTCATAGCAAGTACACTGAACAAAAATATAAACGCAACATGCAACAATTTTAAAGATTATACTCAGTTAAAGTTCATATAAGGAAATCAGTCAATTGAAATGAATTAATTAGGCCCTAATCTATGGATTTCAAATGACTGGGAATACAGATATGCATCTGTTGGTCACAGATACCTTAAAAAAAAAAAAAGTAGGGGCGTGGATCAGAAAACCAGTCAGTATCTGGTGTGACCACCATTTGCCTCATGCAGCCCGACACATCTCCTTCGCATAGAGTTGATCAGGCTGTTGATTGTGGCCTGTGGAATGTTGTCCCACACCTCTTCAATGGCTGTGCGAAGTTGCTAGATATTGGCGGGAACTGGAACACGCTGTCGTACATGTCGATCCAGTGACATGTCTGGTGTGTATGCAGGCCATGGAAGAACTGGGACATTTTCAGCTTCCAGGAATTGTGTACAGAACCTTGCGACATAGGGCCGTGCATTATCATGCTGAAACGAGGTGATGGTGGCGGATGAATGGCACGACAATGGGCCTCAGGATCTCGTCACGATATCTCTGTGCATTCAAATTGCCGTTGATAAAATGCAATTGTGTGTTCGTTGTCCGTAGCTTATGCCTGCCCATACCATAACCCCACCGTCACCATGGGGCACTCTGTTCACAACGTTGACATCAGCAAACCGCTTACCCACACAACGCCATACACGCTGTCTGCCATCTGCCCGGTACAGTTCAAACCAGGATTCATCCATGAAGAGCACATTTGCCCACTAAAGTCGGTTACGATGCCGAACTGCAGTCAGGTCAGGAACCTGGTGAGGACGACGAGCTAGCAGATGAGCTTCCCTGAGATGGTTTCTGACTGTGCAGAAATTATTCGGTTGTGCAAACCCACAGTTTCATCAGCTGTCCGGGAGGCTTGTCTCAGACCATCCCGCAGGTGAAGAAGCTGGATGTGGAGCTATTGGGCTGGCGTGGTTAAACGTGGTCTGCGGTTTTGAGGCCGGTTGGACATATTGCCAAATTTTCTAAAACGACATTGGAGGCAGCTTATGGTAGAGAAATTAACATTAAATTATCTGGCAACAGCTCTGATGGACATTCCTGCAATCAACATTCCAATTACACGCTCCCTGAAAACTTGAGACATCTGTGGTATTGTGTTGTGTGACAAAACTGCACATTTTAAAGTGGCCTTTTATTCTCCCCAGCATAAGGTGCACCTGTGTAATGATCATGCTGTTTAAACAGCTTGTTGATATGCCACACCTGTCAGGTGGATTATCTTGGCAAAGGAGAAATGCTCACTAACATGGATGTAAACAAATTTGTGCACAAAATTTGAGAGAACTAAGCTTTTTGTGCGTATGGAACATTTTTGGGATATTTTATTTCAGCTCATGAAACATGGGACCAACACTTTACATGTTGTGTTTTTATTTTTGTTCAGTGTACATTTTCCCTCAAAAGTAGTTATCAGCAAAGTCAGTGCTAGTAGGAAAAGACCAGAGCGGACAGGATGGAGTGCTCAGGATTGGCAGTAGGGTTTGAGCATAGCCTGAAGGTAGGGAGGAGCAGTGCCCCTTGCTGCCTTGTAGTTAAGCACCATGGTCTTGTAGTGCATGTGAGCTTAGACTGGAAGCCAGCTGGGTGTGGGGAGAAGCTGAGTGACATGGGAAAACTTGGGAAGGTTGAACACCAGGTGGGCTGTGGCGTTCTAGATAAATTGCAGGGGTTTGATGGCACAAGCAGGGAGCCCAGCCAACAGAGAGTTGTAGTAGTCTTAACGGGAGATGACAAGTGCCTGGATTAGGACCTGCACTGCTTCCTGTGTGAGGAAGGGTCGTACTCTACGGATGTAGTAAGAGCATGAACCTGCAGGAACTAGTCACAGCATTGATGTTTGCGCGATAGAAAGCAGCTTTAGCAGCGGATACAGAGGAAGAGGAGGTATAGAGGAGGGAGTGGAAGGATTATAGGTCCTCCGGAAGTTTAGTTTTCCTCCATTTTCGCTCAGCTGCCAGCAGCCCTGTTCTGTGAGCTCACAGTGAGTCACTCACCACGGAGCGGGAGGGGAGGGTCGAGCAGGCCGGGAGGAACCCGGATAGTGAGAGTTGCAGGTTGAAATTGGGGTTAATCTTGTCCTGTAGGCAGAGCTGAGTGATTTCCACTAGATGGGCCAGCTGCAAACTCAAAATTATATATCGTAAAAATAGCATTTTGGTCTTCATGTAAGGTTAGCAGTGTGGCTAAGGTTAGGGGTTGGTTTAAAATCATGTTTTATGACTTTGTGGCTGTGCCAGCTAGTGACTACCCTGCATAGCTGCCTCCAGTACATCAGTCATCCCAATAAATGCCAACCTACCATGTATTTTACCAATACAATGGTCTACAGTGAAGTGGACATACTCCGTATTCATATCCCGAAAGAAATAAAGGAATTTACTCCAACAAATGTTAACAGAAAGTTTGCAAAAATAGATAAGATCTTGCTACCATGGAAAGGTAAATACCTGTATATTTGTGAAAAAAATTACCCTGATTAATTCTTTAGTCATATCCATCCCAGTTGAGCTATTTACCTATTGCCCTGCCTACGCCGAATGATGTGTCTTTTACATTATTTGAGCAAAGTATATTTCACTTTATTTGGAACGGCAAGCCAGACAAAATAAAACGTGCTAATTTATATAATTAATATGAGTTCGGGGGGCTAAAATTCATAAATATTAAAGCGTTAAACCTATCACTAAAAGCATCAGTCATACAAAAGTTATACTTAAACCCAAACTGGTTCTCCAGTAGATAAGTAAAAATGGTTCATCCCTTGTTCAACAATTGCCTTTTTCCCTTTATCCAGATTACAACCTCTCACCCCTTTTTCAAAATATTGCCCTTTCTAAAACAAGCCATCCAAACCTGGTTGCAATTTCAGTTTCGTCCTCCAGAAAAGACAGAACAAATATTACAACAAATAATATGGTTAAATTCAAATATACTAATTGATAAAAAAATATATTTATGGGAAAAATGTTAAAATTAATTATCTTTGTTAATGATATTATGAATAGGAAAGGTGGAGTTATGTCACATGTGCAGTTAACAGACATCGGTTATATGGAAATGTTTGCTCTATCCGAAATTACAACCAACTGATTACAAGAATACCGCAAAAATGGAGGAGGCACGTGGAAGGGGGAGAAGGTAGGAATCTTGTTTGTTTGCCCTTTATTAAAGACCAAAATTGGCTAAATAAATACAAATATCAGTTTTACTTGAGGACCAAAATGTTGAACGCGGCGCCATACAGGTTGCAAAATAGTTGGGAAGATATGTTTGATGTGCCGACTCCGTGGTATATGGTTTACAATGCTTGCTTCAAAACGTTGTTTTCAATTTAAATGATTATACAAAATTCTTGCCACAAACATAATGTTACGTTTATGAGGCATACAAACATCTCAACTCTGCAGATTTTGCTATGAAGAGAAAGCGTCATTAGATCACTTATTTTGGTATTGCTTCTACATAGCTTGTTTCTGGCCACAGGTTCAGGAATGGCTGAAAAATCAACAACATTTATCTAAAATTAACCCTACAAATAGCACGGTTGGGAGATTTGGAAAACCATAGTAAATCAATCAACAATATAATAATAATTTTTGTAAAAATATTCATATTTAACTTACAATCTGTAGATACTATGCGATTAGACAGCTTCAGAATTTATGTGAAACAGCACAGTTGAAAAATATATGACACATGGAAATCATAAGAGGGCAGTTTACGGAGATAGGTGGGATGGACTGAGAGTAGCTGAGGGGTGGGTTTAAAAGCTCATGTTCTTTAATAGTTATGATGACTGAACACGATGTATAATGTATAAGTACTATCTATCTAGATGTAATGTATATAAAAATATCAAATTACTTTATTCTTGCTATTTAACTACTGTAAAAAAAAAAAAAAAGGGCCATGTATGTAAAATGTGTGTAGAATGTACATTTAACAACAAAAGAAAAAGCTGCAAAAACAACCTGCATTAGTCCTGAGTGGCGCAGTGGTCTAAGGCACTGCATCGCAGTGCTAACTGTGCCACTAGATCCTGGTTCGAATCCAGGCTCTGTCGCAGCCGGCCGCGACCGGGAGACTCATGGGCGGCGCACAATTGGCCCAGCGTCGTCCAGGGTAGGGGAGGAAATGGCCGGCAGGGATGTAGCTCAGTTGATAGAGCGTGGCGTTTGCAACGCCAGGGTTGTGGGTTCGATTCCCACGGGGGGCCAGTATAAAAAAAAAAAAATGTATTCACTAACTGTAAGTCGCTCTGGATAAGAGCGTCTGCTAAATGACTAAAATGTAAAAAAAATGTAAAAAATGTAGTCAAAGGATGCGGAAAAGGAGGAGAGTAGGGTCGAAGCGTCAGTAGACAGAAAGGAGAAGGATTTAGCGGAAGGGAGAGATAATATGATAGAAGAGGAGAGAGTAGTGGGAGAGAGAGAGCGAAGATTACGACGGATTGCGACGACGCATGACCATCATTTACTGTAAGTGCAAGCAAGGCATACTATAACAGTTAGCCTATTATTGCCAAAGATGGAAGCTTTCAGTTCCAGAGGTCATCTGTACCAAGCTGACAAGCCAGCTTTCTCCAGTTGGCAGGAGAAGAGCAGAGTTGCACACCAATGTGAGCTGTCAACAAGAGGGTTTAGTGTTTCACTGGTTGGATGCAGTCACTGGAGGAAATTGCACTTGTTGAATGTAGATATTACTGTAAATTGGTAGAAATAAATATAGTTGGTAGAGTATTTATAGTTGGTTGGAGGTAATGAATGTGGCACTGTGGGAAACTGGAGCAGGGTTGGAGAAATCAGAGGGAGACCTAGTACTGCAACCTGGTCTCAGTGCATTTCATATTATTCTGTACGTAAATCCGAGATATTACATTTAGAATGATATGTTAGGTTTCGAATGGTATGTATTCATTTGTGGATGTCCATGAACCATTTTGTATGATATGTTATGAATTACAATTCGTATTATATATTATGAATGTGTAAAACGTACAATATGTTAAACAAATGTAAAGCGTACAATTCTAGCAAGGTATGTAGGTGGCTAACGTTAGCTAGCTGGTTAATGTTAGCTAGGCTAGGGGTTAGGGTTAGGGGTTAGGGTTAAGTTTATGAGTTAGGTTAAAGGGTTACTCTTATGTAACTATACCAAATGTAACATATCATACCTCTGTAGCTCAGCTGGTAGAGCACAGCGCTTGTAACGCCAGGGTAGTGGGTTCAATCCCCGGGACCACCCATACACAAAAATTTATGCACGCATGACTGTAAGTTGCTTTGGATAAAAGCGTCTGCTAAATGGCATATGATTATTATTATTATTATTTAATTTTAGCATCGCAGATTTATATTTACTATGTTACGTCTAGTATATGAGACCAGGCTGAGTGCACAGGTGGAACTTGTGCAGTGCTGTGAATAGAATCAAATGCATTGCAGTGCACTGGATAAACTTGGCTTAGGGTAAGGATTTGTGTGGTTGTGTCAACATGCACATGTTGGAATGGGGAAATTAATAGAGCAGAATGAGATATGTAGTTTATTGAATAGTAAAAATATTGGCACTCAAAGGTATTTACACAACCCTAGGCCTGTATGGGCTGAATCCAAGATGGAGATCCTTGACATTGACCACCTACCTAAACCATTGCCCCGTCTCTATCTTCACCTGGAATACACTTTCTGATCATTATTATCTTGAGTTAGCCTTGAAATACATCCACAGGTACACCTCCAATTCACTCAAATTATGTCAATTAGCCTATCAGAAGCTTCTAAAGCAATGACATCATTTTCTCGAATTTTCCACGCTGTTTAAAGGCACAGTCAACTTAGTGTATGTACACTTCTGACCCACTGGAATTGTGATACAGTGAATTATAAGTGAAATAATCTGTCTGTAAACAATTGTTTGAAAAATTACTTGTCCTCTGGTCCTCTGTGGTCCTCTGTAGCTCAGCTGGTAGAGCACGGCGCTTGTAACGCCAAGGTAGTGGGTTCGATCCCCGGGACCACCCATACACAAAAAAAAAAATGTATGCACGCATGACTGTAAGTCGCTTTGGATAAAAGCGTCTGCTAAATGGCATATTATTATTATTATTATTATTATTATTATTATTATTATTATTATTATTATTATTATTATTATTATTATTACAAAGTAGATGTCCTAACTGACTTGGCAAAACTATGGTTTGTTAACAAGAAATGTGTGGAGTGGTTGAAAAAACGAGTTTTAATGACTCCAACCTAAGTGTATGTAAACTTCCGACTTCAACTGTATATGACAAATATTTACAGTATTTACATATTCTTGCATAATTATACTGTATAGTAGCACAGGCCCACAATGTTGTTATTGTAGTGTGTCATCACAAAACTATTATGGGATTTCTTTGAAACCTGAACATTTCACCATGATGACCATCAATACTCTCACAATAAATGTTTATTTTTACACTGTATCAGTCAAGTTCTGCTTCCATCTCAGAGAGCAGAAGAGCACATTGATGCAGGCCTCACCTGAGCCAGGTACAGAGAATGAGAAGAATGACCTACCTATGGCACTGAGGGGCTGGTCTACCCTCTATGAATAGAGGCCTCTATTCATACCCAGTGCGCATACATCTGTCCCTGTCAAGTGTTTGACCATGATAGGACAATACCCATGTTTGATTGATAGTGGATATGTTGTTCATAACCATTTGAATATGATAAGTAGTCCAAGAGCTTCCAAGCTGATCTAGGGTGTAATTATTAGTCCAACAGTTGCTTCCATTTAAGAAACGCTTTTCAACAGAATCGGCAGAATGAATACACCCCTGATCACACGCAAACACGGTTCACTTTCATAGTAGCCACATACAAACAGCATGATCATTTTGCTCATTGTATAATTCCTTCTCGCATCTACGCGCTCTCCTCCTTTTCCCTTAGCTTGTGGACTTCAGACTAAAAAACCTTTACAAACCAAACCTTCATATCATAACCGCTAACCGCCACACACAGCCTACATCGTTTTCACCATATCAGCTAACGTCATAGTCAACATAGCTACTAGAACCTACGCGTTAGTAAACCCACTACAATCATGCAGTACAGTGTACAGTCAGCAAGCGGTTTAACAGTTACACCGGCTGGCCCCGGTGGCAATAAATTAATAAAACCAAAAGCTTACCTTGACTTGGAAGAGTTCCAGTGTTGGATAGCCATAGCCAGCTAGCTAAAATAGCATCCTTCTCTGTTTGAGCCAGGTGTTTGAGTAGGCTAAACTAGCTAGCTGCCTTCGCTAGCTAAGTGAAAGTGAAAAAATACAACAAAATATAGCTAGCTCTCTCTCTCTCTCTCTCTCTCTCTCTCTCTTGCTTCTCCTTCATTTTTAAATAAATACATTTTAACTCTTCGACTATTGTCTTTCTCTTTGAGTGAAATACTCACCATATTTCATGCACTGCAGTGCTAGCTAGCTGTAGCTTATGCTTTCAGTACTAGATTCATTCTCTGATCCTTTGATTGGATGGACAACATGTAAATTCATGCTGCAAGAACTCTGATGGGTTGGAGGATGTCCTCCGGCATAACTGTGTAAGTCTATCGAAGGGGGTGAAAACCACGAGCCTCCTAGGTTTTGTATTGAAGTCAATGTACCCAGAGGAGGACGGAAACTAGCTGTCCTCCGGCTACACCATGGTGCTACCTTACAGAGTGCTGTTGAGGCTACTGTAGAACTTCATTGCAAAAAAGTGTGTTTTAATCAATTATTTGGTGACGTGAATATATTTAGTATACTTTTATCTAAAAACTAACTTTTTAAATGTTTCACTATTTTTACTTTTATGAAATTCACTAAGGAAGATGGTCCTCCCCTTCCTCCTCTGAGGAGCCTCAACTGGCCAGATTGTAGTAACTTACATTGTGGTGCTGAAACTTGAAGTAGCAGCCGCAGCACAATCAATCGGAAATGGACAGTACATGGTGCTGAAAGTAGACAAATTCGAGTAGGCATAATTCATTTAAACCATCTTCATTTTAATGAGACTTTACTAACAACAAGAGGGCTTTGTGTTGGAGCCTATTTCTTACTATTTAAGAAATAAGAGGTAGACCTAACTGTTTGACAGATGAAATTAGGCTATAGGCTGCTATATCCATAGATTTATCGGTCAATTCCTCCACCCACCATGCACTCTTTAAATAGCCTACTTCCTTCCATGTCAGTGAAGGGCAGTTAAGTGAAAACCAAGACTCGAATTGAGGGGGAATGAGAAGGTATGCCATAGGCCTACCTTTTATTATAGAAAATGGCAAAAAGCACAAGCCTACCCTTTGTTAGTTTTTAAGATTTTGAAGAAAATAAAACAGATCTAATTATATAAAATGATCTACACTGAGTATACAAAACATTAAGGACCTTCTCTTTATATGGCAGACTGACCAGGTGAACCCAGGTGAAAGCTATGATCCCTTATTGATGTCACTTGTTAAATCCACTTCAATCAGTGTAGATGAAGGGGAGGAGACATGTTAAATAAGGATTTTTAAGCCTTGAGACAATTTAGAAATTGATTGTGTATGTGTGCCATTCAGAGGGTGAATGGGCAAGACAAAAGATTGATGTGCCTTTGAATGGGGTATGGTAGTAGGTGCCAGGCTCACCGGTTTGTGTCATAAACTGCAACGCTGCTGGGTTTTTCACGCTCAACAGTTTCCCGTGTGTATCAAGAATGGTCCACCACCCAAAGGACATCCAGCCAACTTGACACAACTGTGGGAAGCAATGGAGTCAAACATGGGCCAGCATCCCTGTAGAACGCATTCGACACCTTGTAGAGTCCATGCCCCGACGAATTGAGGCTGTTCTGAGGGCAAATGGGGGTAGATGAAACTCAATATTAGGAAGGTGTTCCGAATGTTTGGAATACTCAGTGTATAAGAGCGCTTTGGTTCGGGACGCTTTTTGCTAGAAACAAGCTGTAAAATACCCAGGAAAGACGTGACTCCGATGCATATGGGGATATCATTGTTTCATTTCTTTGACATTCAAAGGCTGAGCTACAACCTTCTATAGCTGAGGAGACAAAGAATATGACTTTGCTTGGGAAGTCATCTAATTCTGCCACAATCAATTGATTAAGCTATTCACTTTCTGTTCAATAGAATATGTTGAAACCCAGACAGCTTTTAGGGAAACACTTGTGACCTTCTCTCGTTGGGTTTAGCCAGCAGTTAAAGCTTACGGTAGGCCAACTCTGTCTGAGGTGGAAAGGTAGGCCTAACTTTTGAAACTACCATGCTCAGATTCCTAATGATGTCTCAGATTTAATTATTTGCAAACAGGGACAGTTTCGTTGCAAACAAGACACACTGATTTGGCATTAGAGAAATATGATAAGATGAATAAGTAGGCCTATCTCTCTGTCCATTAAGTCTGTACCAACAATAGAAACAGCACCAACAAACACAATCTGGTCAAACAAACTTTATTCGCCACTGAAACATACATAGCACTTCTCACTAAGCAGGAGCAGCATTTGCCATGGTTAGGGTGAGGCAGAGGGCAGGCACTGATTGTAAGAAGAGGCTCATGGAAGAGGCTCTGGGGGGGAGGTGGATCAGAGTCCTCTTCAGCTGGCCCCAGCAGCGGCAGGGGGGGCAGGGGGTTCGGGTGCTGGGGTAGGGGCAGGAGCTGGGTCAGGGGTAGGAGCAGGGATGGTGAAACACCCCCTCTTGTGCCACTGCATGTCCCTCACACGCCGGACAGACTGGATCTGAGGTGCAGGGGAATCCCAGTCGTTCCAGTGCTTGAAGTCTCCACGCTCAAACACATACTGGCGTCCCCTGTAGCCTGGGTACATGTAGCCGACCCATCTGGAACAAAGGAACAGAGAAGGAGTCCATGAGACAGGACTAAAATATATGACAGAATAATTTACCATCTTTTTAAGGTTTTCAGAAGAAAGACGAAGTGAGACATGAGAGAAACAGCAAAAGACAGAGAGAGAGATAGAGAGCAGGTGAAACAGGAAGAACTTGAGAGAGGGTGAAAGGGAGCTCTTACGTTCCGTTGAGAGCCTTGACACTTCCTACGCGATCTTGGAAACCATGTCCCCACAAACTGGGAACGTCATCATCAACAATCTCCATCTTTTTACCAGTGAAGCCTGGACTCTCAAACAGATGAATCTTGTGTTCTGCACTATCCTAAAGAGGAGAAATTGAGATATGCACACACACAGACAGACCGACACACTCAGTGTTAAGATGGTAACTGAAAGCTGACTCTTGAGATTGAGGCTTGAGGTAATCAGTGAGTATTCAGATAGTCAATGAGAGCTGTCTGCTGAGATAAGTGACTGTTGAGATGTACATGGCGTTCTACAATGGTTAAAGAGTGTTGAGATAATCTGTGAGTGTTGAGATAAACAGGGGAGTGCTGGAATGCTAAATATGTGCTGAAATGGTAAGAGAATGTTGATTTGAGATTGGTAGGGAATGCAGAGCGGTGAGATGGTAAACATGGTCAGTGAGTATGTTGAGCATGTTGAGACATTGTGTGAGTGCTACCCACCACTTTGAGTGGCCGCATGGACCAGAAGGAATAGCTGTACTGGCTGTTGGTCCAGGTGTCCCAGCGTGGATACTCGCCTTTCTCCAAAACAAACTGTTCACCTGCAAACCCCTGGCGGTCATACCCCACCCATCTGACAGGAGAGAGGAGAAGGATGAGGCTGTTAGAATATGTCTCCTCAGCATGTAAGATGCTGTGTACAGAGATAGTATTCCTTTTTTTTGTTAACACAACATTTAACCTGAGCCTGAAAACACATTATGTATGTGTAAGAAAGTGTGTCTGTGAATGACACCAATGCACCAGTACTCACGGGCCAGACTCAACCAGCACAGAGCCCACCTTCTCCAAGCCCTTCTCTGAAACATCTTTACACTCGGCAGAAAACTCAGCCTTGCGACCCTGGAAATTCTCAAACTCAAACAGCACCACCTAGATCAGAGAGAGCGAGGAAAGAGAGAAATATTGACAAAGTAAAGCTGCCAATATAAAGATAGGAAAGATATGGGGGGAGTAAGGAATACAAAGAGGGCAGATAGACAAGTGGGGAAAATAGAGAAGTGGACAAAGGACGGAAAAAGAAATGAAGAGCGAGATCACGAGTATAGGGAGAAATACACAGACGACAGAGGAGAGGATACAGTACCTTGTAAGTGGCTCCTGCTCCACCCTGGCTCTTCCCTGCAGCCAGTTGTTCAGGGGCGTTCTGCTGCTCCGACATCCTCCTGGTCCACTGGTTACTCCTCTTTCAAGAGCACAATCAGGAGAGACAGAGACAGGAGAAACACAGACACCATCATGGCATTCATTTCACAGTGATGACCATCAGTCCTCTCAGAATCAGTCAACATTTGCGTCCACTTCAGAGAGCAGAAGAGGACATTGGTGCAGACTGAGCTGAGAATAAGGACCTGAGGGCTGCGTTCTACCCTTTCTATCTCCAGGAGGCCACTATTTATCTACCCTAACTTTGTCCTGGGGCCAGGAGTTTTTCCTGACCGTAGGCTATAACTAGGGCCCAGAGTCATCCCCCATGAAGATACATGTTATTCTCATACGCTAATGCGCAACATTTCAGCTCCAGTGATTCCATGTCACATTTCCCTGTCTATAATGTCAAAATCTGCAAGCCTCAGACTGTATCGTAACCAGTTCTGCAACCCCCGACTCAATCAAACCCAACACTACAAACAATACACATTCCATAATACTCTATTCTGCAAACTCCTCATTTGCTCAATCATACCTTAGAATTTGGTATTCTTATTTTTTTTATTATATCTTAACCAACTCTACAAACCTATCAATCTCTATCATATGCAGTTTTACCAACAACTCAACTCACTCCATTATACTAAACTCTTGTTCCTACCCCTCCCATTAAACCTCTCCTTCGCCATCCCTGTCAACAAGCATGGCTGTGGAGTCTCCTTTTCTTTTTATGTAAAGTTCAAAGGTCAATGAAAACCCTGGTTATCCTGCTGTGCAGAACCAAGCTGGTTTTACCTGGATATGCCTGCTGTGTATTGGTAGCCTCTCTCTCTGTGTGCCACTTGGTGTTTGGGGTTGAGCCGTTGGTGGGCAGGGGGGGTATTTATGGTTTATTTCTGGCCACAACAGCAGAAAAGGGGGAGCTGTTGATACAGCAAGTCTGTCGCTCACATTGTGTCCATAACACTGCCTCTCAATAGGCAGATGTGTTGGCACACGCTACCCTGCCCGTCTGCCTGGCTGCCAGTGCATGGTGTGTGGGCACACGGAGAGGGAGCCAAGAGGATTCAGCAAACAGCCCCACTCAGCACAAATGGGTACACGCTCACACCTCTCCCACGCATACACTAACCACACCCAGCAGTCTAGACATCAGCTAACCTCCTCACACCATTCTCACCAATATCACCAAACTCACAATGGGGAACCAAACAATTCACCAAAAACTAACCTAACATTGATCTCCTTTCACTATATCCTGTTGAAATCATACACTGAGTATACCTTCCTAATACTGAGTTGCACCCCTCCCCTTTTGCCCTCAGAACAGCCTTAATTCGTCAGCGCACAGACTAGAATGCTGGCCCATGTTGAATCCAATGTTTCCTACAGTTGTTGGCTGGATGTCCTTTGGGTGGTGGACCATTCTTGATACACATGGGAAACTGTTGAGCGTGAAAAAGCCAGCAGCATTGCAGTTCTTGACCCAAACCGGTGCGCCTGGCACCTACTACTATACCCCGTTCAAAGGTACTTAAATCTTTTGTCTTGCCCATTCACCCTCTGAATGGCACACATGCACAATCCATGTCTCAAGGCTTAAAAATCCTTATTTAACATGTCTCCTCCCCTTCATCTACACTGATTTGAAGTGGATTTAACAAGTGATATCAATAAGGGATCATAGCTTTCACCTGGATTCACCTGGTCAGTCTGTCATGGAAAGAGCAGCTGTTCTCAATGTTTTGTATACCTTCATTTACCAAACCCTGACCCTCCATCTCTCCTATACCGCCGCCCCACACAATACCTCTCCTATACCTCCCTACACCAAACACTATCGACCTGTTATACCCCACACCAAAAATAGACAACAATCGAACTTCATAATACTGCAGACTGGAGAGGGTGGGTCTGAGCTGAAATTGGTGTAATGCAGAAGTAACATTTATCCCAATAATTACATCAAAGTCAGAAACTCAACTCAGTACATTTTATTAAGAAGTTACAATTTTGGACACTGGCATTATAACAGTGTAATATACATATTTTACTTTCAAAAATAAAATAAGAGAGAGATAATAAAAAATTAAATCAAACTGACAAAAGTCATGACAAAGTCAAACGCCATGGACACCATAGGGGCAACGACTCCAAAGATTCAATCAACACATTCACTTCCATTGCATTAGCGTTCCAACATCGGCCTATGAAAATGTGGATGGTGGGACACAACAGAATAGCCAGTGCTGTAGTGAAATTAAGTGACAAAGTACTTAATGGAAGTAGTGGGCCAGTGGAGCATGGCTAACATGGTCAGGGGCATGGCTAACATGGTCAGGGGCATGGCTAACATGGTCAGGGGCATGGCTAACATGGTCAGGGGCATGGCTAACATGGTCAGGGGCATGGCTAACATGGTCAGGGGCATGGCTAACATGGTCAGGGGCATGGCTAACATGGTCAGGGGCATGGCTAACATGGTCAGGGGCATGGCTAACATGGTCAGGGGCATGGCTAACATGGTCAGGGGCATGGCTAACATGGTCAGGGGCATGGCTAACATGGTCAGGGGCATGGCTAACATGGTCAGGGGCATGGCTAACATGGTCAGGGGCATGGCTAACATGGTCAGGGGCATGGCTAACATGGTCAGGGGCATGGCTAACATGGTCAGGGGCATGGCTAACATGGTCAGGGGCATGGCTAACATGGTCAGGGGCATGGCCCAAGTCAGCTCTGAGCTCTAAAACAACTGGTGCAAATAGACAGTCATGTGCCGTAAAATAGGGTAAAATAACCACCCACCCTCATCTCAAAACAATATACTTGACTCACATTCCCCACTGGATTAGTGTAAGCCATACTCCTACCATTCCACTATACATCCACACTGCTGCACTGACCATGTGCACAATGGGACCATAACAGTTCTGTGGATGAATCCATGATCAATGATATCCAGACTATATGATTGTACCACTGCTACTTGGTGTGTAAATTCAGTGTCTGAGCATGACGGAAAAGGAGCCGAGATTGTGCATGCACATATGTTGTCAACAGTGATGTAGTGATAAAAGAATAGGTGGGTAAAATCTCTCTCTCTAAATGGGAGATGTGTTGCAGACATCCGGATAAAACAGAACCTAGGGAGTGCACATTGAATGTATGGCTAATTGGTAACACATACAGTTAGACCATTTTTCTTGCAATCCTTACGCACTCATCCATCAGTATTACACACAATCATTTGATCTTACACTGAAGAGGTAAGTGAAGGTAAAGGGAGGAAGAACAGGTTGATTAGTGTTTTTCGTGTGTGTGTGTAGGAGTGTAATTGAGAGAGCTCCAATGTGATTAACCCTTCCCCTTTTCCACCACACACACACTCTACACACACCCTCTACACACACCTACACAAGGATTTTGTATTGTAGATATGTGGTAGTAGAGTAGAGGCCTGAGGGAACACAATGTGTGGTGAAATGTAATGTCATGTAATATTTGTAATTGTATATAACTGCCTTAATGTTGCTGGACCCCAGGAAGAGTGGCTGCTGCCTCAGTTAAAAGGGGCTGCATTAGGTCAACACAACAGATTCTCAGTTAGTTCATGACATCAGTCACTGAGTGTATCAGAGGAATGGGCTTGGGAGCCTCTGCTGTAGTGATACTTGAAATGCTCTCCATACAAAACTAGCACTCTGACATGTTATGATTCATCTTTCAAATTAGCAACAATACAAATATAACCTTTCATGATTAGATACCATATTTATTACTAACACATAATATACAGCCTGGCTGACCATTAGTTCAGCAGTGTTTTTGTTCTTTATGATCAATGACAAAAAATAAAATAAAATGTTATCCTATGGCAATGCTTGTTGACTATTACCAACACCCCTTGACTGATAGCTACACATAGGAACTCATAGACTAACCTGAAAAATACATTTAAAAAAGAAATACAATTATATCTTGTGGAGGTACTACACTGTCCTCCAGCTTATTGAACCACTTCCAGGTTAAGAGGCGTGTGGTCCCACAAGTTTAACCAGTCCTGAAATGCAACCTGACAGGAGAGAATGGGTTTCCCCCCTTCCGTAGTCTCCCCTGTCAGGTGAGAGGGTAAAGTGGCTCTATGCAAAGGAAATGAACAAGCTGGAGGCGAGCAGCCAGATGATTACCCTGGCTCGTTTCATCCATAAGACCAAGGTTGTCTGCAAAAGGCACCATGCACATGTATGTGACCCAGGCAGGAAGAGAACCGATAAAATGAACAAACAGATGACAAATTACAGCAGCAGTTTCCATCTTCTCAGGGTCAAAGGTTAAGGCTTCTGTCTCCAATTCTCCAACAGATTATTCAGTTTTAAGGCAACCTACACAGAGGATGCAAACGGATACAAACCATCAGTATTTTAGGGTTATTTACTTGCAAAACAGACACACTTTAATATTATTGTCTAATTCTGAAAATGTGGTAAAATGTCACGTTTATTGCCAAGGGCACAAGTACCCTATGGAAGTAGATTAAAATGATTCACCATATGAGGAACATTTGGGAGAAGAAGAGCGCTTACCTGCTCATTCACACTTAGCTGTCATTTTCATACTGACTCAAGCGCTTCTTAGACTTCAGCTCTCTCAGCCACTGTGGTGAGGCCTCCTCCCTAAGAAGACACACAGACAGACAAAGGGAGGCACAATCATTACAAATGGTACTTACTTCTGGTCTGACTATCTCAACAATCCCTGGTTTGGGTTATTAGATCAACAATCCCTGGTTTGGATTATTAGATCCAGGCTGAACAGAGGGAAGAGACAGGGTCACCATCTTACCCATTTTCTTTCCCTCCGGAGGGGGGCAGCACAAGGGATGCCCGGGGCAGGAAGGGGGATTTAGGAGAACGGGACAGCTGGGAGGGAGATGGGGCGGCTCCGTCTGTCTGATTGTCAGAGTCGCCTCTCTTCTTGAGCTGGGCCTGCCAAACAGAGGGGGGAAACCACCAAGAGAACATATCAAAGGCTCATTTTTCACAGCAGTATGAGTGACAACATTACATTACACTCCTGGTCAACTCTCTGCCTTCCAGACAACATCTGTTTCTCTTGAGGAGGCTCACCTTGAGAGTGGAGGGGTCCATCCCAGGAAAGAGGGCGACTCTCTGGGGCTGGGAGGAGGCAGCAGCAGAGCGGGGGTCTGCTCCTCTCTCCTGCTCCTCAGAGTCCGAGTCTTCCTGCTTGGAAGACTCAATGTCCTCTGTAGAGGACAACACACTGAGTACATCATTTCACAATCATAACAAATAGGAGGTTATTCAGAAGTCTAACAGATCTTTGACCATCTAAGAACATCTCCAGTCGAACTGGTCGACTCAATCCATACGATAGGTGTGTGGGAGAACCAAGGTACTGGATAGAGATATGCAAACCTTAAATTAACTTTTTGGTACACCAGCAAGATAAAAATCTACCAGCCACTCAGATTTCTTACCAGCCACAAGGCTTGAAATAAACTTTCTTTGCCACTTGTCCTTCAGGCAAGTAGGACAGATGTTTTACTTGTCCAAATGCTCATGTCACTTGTCCCCCCCCAAAAAAAGGTACAGTGGGGAAAAAAAGTATTTAGTCAGCCACCAATTGTGCAAGTTCTCCCACTTAAAAAGATGAGAGAGGCCTGTAATTTTCATCATAGGTACACGTCAACTATGACAGACAAATTGAGAAAAAAAAATCCAATCACATTGTAGGATTTTTAATGAATTTATTTGCAAATTATGGTGAAAAATAAGTATTTGGTCACCTACAAACAAGCAAGATTTCTGGCTCTCACAGACCTGTAACTTCTTTAAGAGGCTCCTCTGTCCTCCACTCGTTACCTGTATTAATGGCACCTGTTTGAACTTGTTATCAGTATAAAAGACATCTGTCCACAACCTCAAACAGTCACACTCCAAACTCCACTATGGCCAAGACCAAAGAGCTGTCAAAGGACACCAGAAACAAAATTGTAGACCTGCACCAGGCTGGGAAGACTGAATCTGCAATAGGTAAGCAGCTTGGTTTGAAGAAATCAACTGTGGGAGCAATTATTAGGAAATGGAAGACATACAAGACCACTGATAATCTCCCTCGATCTGGGGCTCCACGCAAGATCTCACCCCGTGGGGTCAAAATGATCACAAGAACGGTGAGCAAAAATCCCAGAACCACACGGGGGGACCTAGTGAATGACCTGCAGAGAGCTGGGACCAAAGTAACAAAGCCTACCATCAGTAACACACTACGCCGCCAGGGACTCAAATCCTGCAGTGCCAGACGTGTCCCCCTGCTTAAGCCAGTACATGTCCAGGCCCGTCTGAAGTTTGCTAGAGTGCATTTGGATGATCCAGAAGAGGATTGGGAGAATGTCATATGGTCAGATGAAACCAAAATAGAACTTTTTGGTAAAAACTCAACTCGTCGTGTTTGGAGGACAAAGAATGCTGAGTTGCATCCAAAGAACACCATACCTACTGTGAAGCATGGGGGTGGAAACATCATGCTTTGGGGCTGTTTTTCTGCAAAGGGACCAGGACGACTGATCCGTGTAAAGGAAAGAATGAATGGGGCCATGTATCGTGAGATTTTGAGTGAAAACCTCCTTCCATCAGCAAGGGCATTGAAGATGAAACGTGGCTGGGTCTTTCAGCATGACAATGATCCCAAACACACCGCCCGAGCAACGAAAGAGTGGCTTCGTAAGAACCATTTCAAGGTCCTGGAGTGGCCTAGCCAGTCTCCAGATCTCAACCCCATAGAAAATCTTTGGAGGGAGTTGAAAGTCCGTGTTGCCCAGCGACAGCCCCAAAACATCACTGCTCTAGAGGAGATCTGCATGGAGTAATGGGCCAAAATACCAGCAACAGTGTGTGAAAACCTTGTGAAGACTTACAGAAAACGTTTGACCTGTGTCATTGCCAACAAAGGGTATATAACAAAGTATTGAGAAACTTTTGTTATTGACCAAATACTTATTTTCCACCATAATTTGCAAATAAATTATTAAAAATCCTACAATGTGATTTTCTGGATTTTTTTCTCCTCATTTTGTCTGTCATAGTTGACGTGTACCTATGATGAAAATTACAGGCCTCTCATCTTTTTAAGTGGGAGAACTTGCACAATTGGTGGCTGACTAAATCCTTTTTTCCCCCACTGTATGCAATACAATTTTTACATAACTGTCTGATGCAAGGAACCACTTTACAAAATAAAATACATTATCTTTTTTACCATAGAGAATCAGACAAAAATGTTGGCTACACTCCGCCTATTGGCTTTTTTGCATATTCAAGCCTGTCTCAAATTACAACACTGCCCCTTTAAGGCTCTCCTGGGAGATGGTTAGTCACCCTTCATAGCCTATAAAATATTGCAACTTTACAATTACAACCAAACACTTTTTATGTCTCTTAAAATAATTCCATTCAGGGCTCAAAATTAAGGGCGCCCCGTCGTCCCTGGGACGATAAAAAAACATGTCTACGGTAGAGGTCTTCACGGATCCACCTGTACCCGAGACCCAATCCAGGTCTGGATCCAGAATTATAAATAATATCACGGGTCTGGGTCGGATCTGATATGATTGTCACGGGTATATATAATTTTAAATGACTTGTCTAGAAGGGCCGTACAGATCCGAAAAAGACTGCTGCAGTAGAGAGAGAGAAGAATTGTATAATTTATACTGCTGCTCTTGCTTTTCACAAGAGTGTAGCTTGTTTACATTTTAGTCATTTAGCAGAAGCTCTTATCCAGAGCGACTTACAGTTAGTGAGTGCATACATTTTTTTTTCATACTGGTCCCCCGTGGGAAACGAACCCACAACCCTGGCGTAGCAAACGCCATGCTCTACCAACTGAGCTACACGGGACTATAGCACACACGTAGGAACTAAAATCTGCACACACAGGGGACCGCTATTGGCCGACAAACAGCCCAGTCCCCACTCCATGGGCTACAATAGAGTTCCCCAACTGGCGGCCTGAGGGCCAAGTTTTCGGAGCAAAATAAAACAATTATATATAATTTTTTACATTTTCATTGTTGGACATAAGACTGTAAAAACACCAGGAAATTAGCTCCAAGTGATTTTGATTTAAGAAATCTGTTCCCAAGTATTCCCACGCATAATAGAGAGACACATGATCGTATACAAATGTAAGCAAGGTTTGAAATTATTATGTTTTAGTCAAACATATCTCTTTGGACTTCTTGCAGTCAATTTGCAGACTACAAATGATTTGTAATTATAAACTGGGTGGTTCAAGCCCTGAATGCTGATTGGCTGACAGCCGTGGTATATCAGACTGTATACCACGGGTATGACAAAACATTTATTGTTACTGCTCTAATTAAGTTGGTAACTAGTTTAGAATAGCAATAAGGCACCTCAGGGGTTTGTGGTATATGGACAATATACCATGGCTAAGGGCTGTATTCCAGGCAATCTGCGTTGCGCATAAGAACAGCCCTTATCCGTGGTATATTGGCCACATACCACACCCCCTCCGGCCTTACTGCTTAATTTTGTTCTGGACCCCGACTATCCGCTCAAGAAAAAAATTAATCGGCCCACGGCTGAATCTAGTGGATGATCCCTGGGCTACAACCACTAACCCTAACCTTGGGAGGATTGGCCACATTTGGAGAGTGGTGGTATGAAGACACTGTTGGCCAATCATAAGTCATCAAAGCGGAAATAGGCTACAGTCATAGAGCCTTGCTCCGTGTGTGGCAAAAGTTAGGAGATATCTAAATCAATGGAAAATGGAATTAAAATGACAGAATTAAAAGTTAAAGGAGAAGGATAGGCTACAAAGACCAAGAGCCAACAGGTAGGTTGCTACTTAATATTCTGAATGGAGTTGTTGTTATTTGTAACTGTAGGATGAGAAAGCGCATGCACTGCAGCCTCAGTTAGCCTAGCTAGCTAAGGTTAGCTAGCTTAACTAGCTTCTCGTTCCGGTTTGATGCAGTCCAAGACAGGTACTATGTAATCATATTTGATAAATAACCTAGCTATGGCAGCTATTAGTCTACTATAGCGCGAGTCTGCTTGGTTGGTTGCTGTCTCTCGTCTCGCCCTCCCTACTTGCTCCTCATGTCACTCGCTCACAGTATGGCCTCTCCCCTGCCTGCTAGACCGGCACCTCTCACGCTCCGGTTAATAAAGTAGCTTTAAAAAATGACTTTTCTACTGCTTCCCTCACTCTGATCTGACCGGGTCTGGATCCTACCAGGTCTATACAGAAAGGGTCTAGTTGTCCTCGGGTCCGTTCGGAACGGTTCTCTATATTAATTTGATTTATTTTTGCATATCGGGTCCGGGTGGGAAAGCCCCAGGTCCATTTCGGAACGGGTCCAACTTTTTGGCCCCGTGAAGACCTCTAGTCTACGGTTCAAAACAGACTCTGGGAGAGTTCTGGGACGACAGATCCAAAATTCATACAACCACCGGCCATTAAAAAAAATTCTGAAGCAATAAGGCTGATGCAACAGATCAGACCGTTTTAGCTTATAAATGTTGAAAAAGTTGTATTTCTTCATATTATAAGCTCAACAATGTGCACATGGCTGTAGGCTATGCGCAAATGTTCCAAAATGCAATTAACGGGAAAACACCATTCTCAAAAGTGCAGCGCACGCGCTAGCGGTTTCATGTGACAGAGAATAAAATATCTGTTAGAAATTTAAGAAAGAGGGGAGATCTAAAGATGCATCAAATAGCATGGGTGCTAATATGACTAGGATTATGCCTTTGGCTGCTGGACAATAAAATAAAGTTGATTTGAAAACCAATAGAACATGTAAAAAAACAAAACTGCTTTCAATGGCATTAAGAGTTTATAAAATAATTCCCTCAACATTTCTATGGTCATATTTTGGCTAGGCTAGGCTACTTTGAAACAAGGCAAGACATGCTTAATTAAATTACATAAAACATTCAGGGTTTTAAACAATTGCATTTATGGTTAAATCGTTTCAAAATGCTGACCGCCTCCACTCAGATTCAAGGTGGGTGATGTGTGGTGTGCAACAGGCACTGTCTTTCACTCTCCTGTCTTGTGATCATTTGATCTAAATAAACCGTGCCTCGGGTATATCGACAGCCATTAGATGTTAATGTTAATTATCCTTCATTATATTTGTCAAACATGACTGGCGTTTAGCCTATATTTATGTAATTAAAAGTCTCATTAAAGTTTGGCTACATTTTCTGGCGCCTCCCTCATGTCAGCATCAGTTTGGACATGAGGCTGTAGCACAGTTTTTTTTATTTATGTACATGAAAAATAGATTTGAATGTTATTCCAATGTTGGCCTCTGATCCAATTCTGATCGGATGTTTGATATTGTGATTTGTGCGTATATATATTTTTTTACTTTTCCATTTGGACAACTCAAATCTATATTCTTCTTGTCAGACAATTTTTTTTTTTTACTTGTCCCGGACAAGAGGACAAGTGTTAATGTCGAGCCATGAGACAAGATATTTTCTACCCATAATTACATCAAAAAGAACAAAAAAAGATGACCATGCTTTGTAATGTTTCTAAAATAAGGAATGTATTAGTAAGAAGTAATGTGTTTTATTGCTCAATTTCATTTAATCTTTTGTGACCAGAGTCTTTTAACCAAAATTTCACCAGATGAGACAAATGTGCAGCCGCCCCTTTAAGGGCGGAGGTTACCGTGGTGTCATGTATGTCTGAGATTTTGAATCTGACTAGCTAGCAGTTGAAGCAAACTCAAACTAACATTGAAAAACAACCAAGCTTGTGAACAAAACTGTAAATAGCCAAAAAACATGAGGACAGAGCAGGCAGTGTTGCTGCGCGAGGTGGGATATAGGACTCGTATTTCTTTGTGCGATTAGCAGCTATGAAACAAAACGGCAGAATGCTTTGAAAACAGCTACTGCAGCATTTTTTGCTATAACTCGCACATGTGCTCATACTTGACTTTTGACCCTTTTTATTTGCAAATGAGAATGTAATGTTTGCACTGTAGAGCCCTGCAAATTGACCACCCACCAACGTGGCTGGTGAAATAGACATTCCTACCCACCAATACCAAAATCTAACCGCATTTGGTTGGTGTTTATTTTATGCCCTGGAGATATGACAGAGTGTCTATATGAGAACAGAGTCCTAGGCTGACCTGTGGAGTCTCGGGAGCGCCAGTCCTCAGTGGGTGTGGCTTGTCCCTCCGGGTGTACAGACAGAGCAGCAGTCTGACGAGCCACCCTGGAGGGGCGCGAACGTGGCCCCCGCATCTTACTCAACTGCACCCTGGAGCGCAGAGCACTGGAGTCCAGCAGGATGGTGGAGGCCTGGAGAGAGGGAGAAACAGAAACACATACAGATACACAAGAAGCAAATCTATGGGGAAAAAAGCAATTCTAACTGTTACACTGATACGTCCTTTAAAAAGGTGGTGTCAATCTTACCTCAGGGAAGGGGAGTAGTTGCATCTCGGGCTTGACCGAGGGGGAGAAGCCATCTGGAGTGTCCAGGTCACTTGGTGGAGCATGTTCCCCTGGTGTGTGGGTCGGAATGGGTTTCCTAGGCGACGGGCTGAGGTTGCCGTCTGAGGTGGGCGTGGCAGGAGTCAGGCTACAGGAAGGACAGACATGAATAGTACTTTAGGCTACCTTCCTAAAAGTCTTTGTTATATGCAGGCATTGGCACTGAGAGAACAATGTGACAGGTACAGGGTCTACTAGCTCTGTGTGGCTGAGTCATATTCTCCTGTCTGGTCCTGTCTGGGTTTACTGTAGGCAGGGGCATCAGATTTCATAGAGGATATGCTGGATGACACAATGGATGACCGGGCAGACTCATGCTCCACTTGCACACAAGCTCCTCATTTCAGAATGAGGGTAGCAAACACTGGTGAGTCACTGCACATGACCATACTATTTGGTGATTATTCCATCCAGAGAGATGGATTCATTTGACAATGACCCACTGTCTATTAATAGTCACGTATATCGTATCTTATCTGGAACTCTTACAGCATAGTCATTTCTACAAAACATGATCCAGATTTTCAACCTGTGTGGAGTTTGTTGCTGTGATACCTTCTCCTGGCCACAGGAGGTCAGTGATAGACCGGCCTGCTGAGAGAGACTCAAGGCCATTTTGAGAGCTCAAATCAAATCAAATTTTATTGGCCACATGCGCCGAATACAACAGGTGCAGACATTACAGTGAAATGCTTACTTACAGCCCTTAACCAACAGTGCATTTATTTTTAACAAAAAAGTAAAAATAAAACAACAACTAAAAAAGTGTTGAGAAAAAAAGAGCAGAAGTAAAATAAAATAACAGTAGGGAGGCTATATATACAGGGGGGTACCGGTGCAGAGTCAATGTGCGGGGGCACCGGCTAGTTGAAGTAATATGTACATGTGGGTAGAGTTAAAGTGACTATGCATAAATAATTAACAGAGTAGCAGCAGCGTAAAAGGATGGGGTGGGGGGGCAGTGCAAATAGTCCGGGTAGCCATGATTAGCTGTTCAGGAGTCTTATGGCTTGGGGGTAGAAGCTGTTGAGAAGTCTTTTGGACCTAGACTTGGCACTCCGGTACCGCTTGCCATGCGGTAGCAGAGAGAACAGTCTATGACTAGGGTGGCTGGAGTCTTTGACAATTTTGAGGGCCTTCCTCTGACACCGCCTGGTATAGAGGTCCTGGATGGCAGGAAGCTTGGCCCCAGTGATGTACTGGGCCGTATGCACTACCCTCTGTAGTGCCTTGTGGTCGGAGGCCAAGCAGTTGCCATACCAGGCGGTGATGCAACCTGTCAGGATGCTCTCGATGGTGCAGCTGTAGAATTTTTTGAGGATCTGAGGACCCATGCCAAGTCTCCTGAGGGGGAATAGGCTTTGTCGTGCCCTCTTCACGACTGTCTTGGTGTGTTTGGACCATGATAGTTCGTTGGTGATGTGGACACCAAGGAACTTGAAGCTCTCAACCTGTTCCACTACAGCCCCATAGATGAGAATGGGGGCGTGCTCAGTCCTCTTTTTTTCCCCCTGTAGTCCACAATCATCTCCTTTGTCTTGGTCACGTTGAGGGAGAGGTTGTTATCCTGGCACCACACAGCCAGGTCTCTGACCTCCTCCCTATAGGCTGTCTCATCGTTGTCGGTGATCAGGCCTACCACTGTTGTGTCGTCGGCAAACGTAATGATGGTGTTGGGAGTCATGCCTGGCCATGCAGTCATGGGTGAACAGGGAGTACAGGAGGGGACTGAGCACGCACCCCTGAGGGGCCCCCGTGTTGAGGATCAGTGTGGCAGATGTGTTGTTACCTACCCTTACCACCTGGGGGCGGCCCGTCAGGAAGTCCAGGATCCAGTTGCAGAGGGAGGTGTTTAGTCCCAGGATCCTTAGCTTAGTGATGAGCTTAGAGGGCACTATGGTGTTGAATGCTGAGCTGTAGTCAATGAATAGCATTCTCACGTAGGTGTTCCTCTTGTCCAGGTGGGAAAGGGCAGTGTGGAGTGCAATAGAGATTGCATCATCTGTGGATCTGTTGGGGCGGTATGCAAATTGGAGTGGGTCTAGGGTTTCTGGGATAATGCTGTTGATGTGAGCCATGACCAGCCTTTCAAAGCACTTCATGGCTACAGACGTCAGTGCTACGGGTCGGTAGTCATTTAGGCAGGTTATCTTAGAGTCCTTGGGCACGGGGACTATGGTGGTCTGCTTGAAACATGTTGGTATTACAGACTCAGTCAGGGACATGTTGAAAATGTCAGTGAAGACACTTGCCAGTTGGTCAGCACATGCTCGGAGTACACGTCCTGGGTAATCCGTCTGGCCCTGCGGCCTTGTGAATGTTGACCTGCTTAAAAGTCTTACTCACATCGGCTACGGAGAGCGTGATCACATAGTCATCCGGAACAGCTGGTGCTTTTCATGCATGCTTCAGTGTTGCTTGCCTTGAAGCGAGCATTAGAAGTGGTTTAGCTCGTCTGGAAGTTTGTGTCACTGGGCAGCTCGCGGCTGTGCTTCCCTTTTGTAGTCGTGAATAGCACATCATAAAGTTTTTGCTTATAAGCAGGAATCAGGAGGATAGAGTTATGGTCAGATTTGCCAAATGGAGGGCGAGGGAGAGCTTTGTATGTGTCTCTGTGTGTGGAGTAAAGGTGGTCTAGAGTTTTTTTTCCTCTGGTTGCACATTTAACATGCTGGTAGAAATTAGGTAGAAGGGATTTCAGTTTCCCTGCATTAAAGTCCCCGGCCACTATGAGCGCTGCATCTGGATGAGCGTTTTCCTGTTGATTTATGGCCTTATACAGCTCATTCAGTGCAATCTTAATGCCAGCATTGGTTTGTGGTGGTAAATAGACAGCTATGAAAAATATAGATGAAAACTCTCTTGGTAAATAGTGTGGTCTACAGCTTATCATAAGATACTCTACCTCAGGCGAGCAAAACCTCGAGACTTCCTTAGTATTTGATTTTGTGCACCAGCTGTTGTTTACAAATATACACAGACCGCCACCCCTTGTCTTACCGGAGTCAGCCGTTCTATCCTGCCGATGTAGCGTATAGCCCGCTAGCTGTATGTTATCCATGTCGTCGTTCAGCCACGACTCGGTGAAACATAAGATATTACAGTTTTTAATGTCCTGTTGGTAGGATAACCGTAATCTTAGGTCATCCAATTTGTTCTCCAATGATTGAAGATTGGCTAATAGGATTGATGGGAGCGGCAGTTTACTCGCTCGCCGTCGGATCCTTACAAGGCACCCCGACCTACGTCCACGATATCTCTGTCTCTTCCTCATGCGAATGACGGGGATTTGGGCCTTGTCGGGTGTCTGTAGGATATCCTTTGCGGCCGCCTTGTTGAAGAACAAATCTTCGTCCAATACGAGGTGAGTAATCGCTGTCCTGATATCCAGAAGCTCTTTTTGGTTATAAGAGACGATGGCAGAAACATTATGTACAAAATAAATTACAAATAACGCGGAAAAACACACATAATAGTACAATTGGTTAGAGGGCTGTAAAACGGCAGCCATCTTCTCCGGCGCCGTTCTGAGCTGGTGTAAAGCTGGTGTAAAGTAAAGCAGGTTTCAATGAGCTGCTGCTCCTTGACCACACAGTGTCAGGACTGCTGAGATGCTATTGTATCTGTATAGTCAGTACCTATAGATACCATAGTATCTGTTTGTTTATTTCAATATCAGTAACTGTGCCTGTGACTTGAAAGAGAAAATTGTGGGTGTTATATGCAACAGCTGGTGCGCGATCTCTAATGTTAAGGAAGTCTTGAGGTTTTGCTCATCTGAGTTAGAATACCTCATGATAAGCTGCAGACCATACTATTTACCAAGAGTTTATCTATATTTTTTTTAGCTGTCTATTTACCACCACAAACTGATGATGGCACTAAGACCGCACTCAACGAGCTGTACAGAGCCATTAGCAAACAAGAAAATGCACATCCAGAGGCGGTGTTCCTAGTGGCCGGTGACTTTAATGCAGGGAAACTGAAATCCGCCTAGAGGCGAAAGAAACTCTAGATCACCTTTACTCCACACACATAAATGCATACAAAGATTTGCCTCGCCCTCCATTTGGCAAATCTTACCATAACTCTATCCTCCTGATTCCAAGCAAAAACTCAAAACAGGAAGTACCAGTGAAGCGCTCAATGCGGAAGTGGTCCGATGAAGCGGATGCTAAACTACAGGACTGTTTCACTAGCAAAGACTGGAATGTGTTCCGGGATTCATTCAATAACATTGAGGAGTTTACCACATCAGTCACCGGCTTCATTAATAAGTGCATCGACGATGTTGTCCCCACAGTGACCGTATGTACTGTACATGTCCCAACCAGAAGCCATGGATTACAGGCAACATCTGCACTGGGCTAAAGGCTAGAGCTGCCGCGGGACACTAATCCGGACGCTTATAAGAAATCCCAATGCGACCTCCGACGAGCCATCAAACAGTCAAAACATCAATAAAGGACTAAGATAGAATCCTACTATGCCGGCTCTGACACTTGTCGGATGTGGCAGGGCTTGCAAACTATCATGGATTACAAAGGGAAACCCAGCCGTGAGCTGCCCAGTGACGCGAGCATACCAGACAAGCTAAATTCATTTTATGCTCGCTTCGAGGAAAGCAAGACTGAACCATGCATGAGAACACTAGCTGTTCTGGACGACTTTGTGATCTCGCTCTCCATAGCCGATGTGAGTAAGACCTTTAAACAGGTTTACATTCACAAGGCCGCGGGCCAGATGGATTACCAGGACGAGTACTCAGAGCATGCGCTGACCAGCTGGCAAGATTTCAACCTCTTCCTGACCCAGTATGTAATACCTACATGTTTCAAGCAGACCACCATAGTCCCTGTGCCCAAGAACACCAAGGTAACCTGTCTAAATGACTATTGCCCCGTAGCACTCACATCTGTTGCCATGAAATGCTGTTCATGGATCACATCCACACCATCATCCCAGACACCCTGGACCCACTCCAATTCGCCCCAACAGATCTACAGATGACGCAATCTCTATTGCACTCCACACTGCCCTTTTCCACTTGGACAAAAGGAAGACCTATGTGAGAATACTATTGACTATTTTCAGGCAGGCGGGTTTGATTAGCTGCTCTCCAATATTGTGCAGCTTTTTAGCCTTGGAAATTAATAGCGAACACTCAAATGATGCCTCCATGGCTCTGTGTAAATCACTGCCTGCTCTTTCAAATGCTTTTCTGATGTCTGTGGATCTTTTTGATACTGCCAACTGCTTCTTCCTCTCAAAAACATCCTGACCTTCACCAATAGTCTCCTGGTGTTTTTGTTTCCTGGTGTCGTTGCATTTTGCTTGGCTTCATGCTGTCATTAGATAGCTTCTCGCCACAAATGACACATTCTGGCCGAGTCCTGTCCTGTCCTTCAATAAAACGGAAGTTAAGATAACTCTCGAGATATAGCCTTACTTTATTTTTTGATGATGAGTCATCAGCACTTTTACATTTCTTAGACATGTTGTTTTATTCATAAAATAGTGATGCTCTGACTGCAGGAAAAACGTGCTGCTAGCTGAAACTGATTGAGCGCAGGTCATTGACGTGCACTGCGTGGCCGCGCACGACTCAAACACTATCAATTTGTTTGCTGACGACAACTGTGGTTGGCCTGATCACTGACGATGAGACCGCCTATAGGGAGGAGGTCAGTGACCTGGCAATGTGGTGCCAGGACAACAACAACCTCTCCCTCAACGTCAGTAAGACAAAGGAGCTGATTGTGGACTACAGGAAACGGAGGGCCGAGCACGCATCGAGGGGACTGTAGAGGAGCGGGTCAAGAGCTTCAAGTTCCTCTGTGTCCACTAAGGATCTATCATGAGCCACACATACTAAAACAGTCGTGAAGAGGGCACGACAACGCCTCTTACCCCTAAGGAGGCTGAAAAGATTTGGCATGGGTCCTACAAACCTCAAACAGTTCTACAGCTGCAGCATTGAGAGCATCTTGACTGGCTGCATCACTGCTTAGTATGTCAACTGCTTGGACTACCCTCTGTAGCACCTTCGGATGCCACAGAGGGTAGTCCGTACTGCCCAGTACATCACTGGGGCCGAGCATCCTGCCATCCAGGACCTCTATACCAACAAGTGTCAGAGGAAGGCCCTAAAAATGGTCAATGACTCCAGCCACCCAAGTCATTGACTGTTCTCTCTGCTACCGCACGGCAAGCAGTACCGATGCAGCAGGTCTGGAACCAACAGGACCCTGAACAGCTTCTACCCCCAAGCCATAAGACTGTTAAATAGTTAGTCCGGTTAGCTATTGGTTAACTATCGGCATTGAGCCTTTTTGCACTAACTCTTAACTCATCACATACGCTGCTGCTACTGTTTATTATCCATCCTGTTGCCTAGTCACTTTATCCCTACCTACAGTGAGGGGAAAAAAGTATTTGATCCCCTGCTGATTTTGTACGTTTGCTCACTGACAAAGACATTCAGCTGTTTTTCTAACCTCATCCGAGGCATTAACGTTAGGTGGTTGGTAGCTGCTGTACTTAATTACAGCTACTGATAACAGTCTGCTGTAGTTTACAACAATTCTAATTTCTAAAGTGGAAGTTGGGAGAGTTTTACTCGGGTGGTTCAGTGAAACAATTATAGTTTCTGAGGTGGAAGTTGGGAGAGTTATATATATATATATATATTTTTTTTTTTTTTTTTTTTGGTGAGGGAGGCCTGCTCTCTCCTTTCCCTGATGTTTAGTTCATTTCATTCCGATCTCCTCTGCATTATTGTAGCCATCTGCTGCAGCCTGTCAACTATGCCTCTGCCTATCCCTGTTCTCTCCTCTCCGCACAGGCTACACAAACGCCTCACACCGCGTGGCTGCTGCCTCTCTAACCTGGTGGTCCCTGCACGCACCACACACCTGGAGTTCCAGGTCTCAGGCAGCCTCTGGAACTGCCGTTCTGCCGCCAACAAGGCTGACTTCATCCCAGCCTATGCTACCCTCCAGTCCCTCGACTTCCTGGCGCTGACGGAAACATGGATTACCACTGAAAACACTGCTACTCCTACTGCTCTCTCCTCGTCTGACCATGTGTTCTCGCATACCCCGAGAGCATCTGGTCAGAGGGGTGGTGGCACAGGAATCCTCATCTCTCCCAAGTGGTCATTCTCAATTTTTCCCCTAACCCATCTGTCTATCTCCTCATTTGAATTCCACGCTGTCACAGTCACTAGCCCATTTAAGCTTAATATCCTTGTCATCTATCGCCCTCCAGGTTCCCTTGGAGAGTTCATCAATGAGCTTGACGCCTTGATAAGTTCCTTTCCTGAGGATGGCTCACCCTTCACAGTTTTGGGGGATTTCAACCTCCCCACGTCTACATTTGACTCATTTCTCTCTGCCTCCTTCTTTCCACTTCTCTCCTCTTTTGACCTCACCCTCTCACCATCCCCCCCCACTCACAAGGCAGGCAATACGCTTGACTTCATCTTTACTAGATGTTGCTCTTCTACTAATCTCACTGCAACTCCCCTCCATGTCTCCGACCACTACTTTGTATCCTTTTCTCTCTCGCTCTCCTCCAACACTACTCACTCTGCCCCTACACAGATGGTAACGCGCCGCCGCAACCTTCGCTCTCTCTCTCCCACTACTCTCTCCTCTTCCATCCTATCATCTCTTCCCTCTGCTCAATCCTTCTCCCTCCAATCTCCTGATTCTGCCTCCTCAACCCTCCTCTCCTCCCTTTCTGCATCCTTTGACTCCCTGTGTCCCCTATCCTCCCGGCCGGCTCGGTCCTCCCCTCCAGCTCTGTGGCTTGATGACTCATTGCGAGCTCACAGAATAGAGCTCCGGGCAGCTGAGCGGAAATGGAAGAAAACTAAACTCCCTGCCGACCTGGCATCTTTTCACTCCCTCCTCTCTACATTTTCTTCATCTGTTTCTGCTGCTAAGGCCACTTTCTACCACTCTAAATTCCAAGCATCTGCCTCTAACCCTAGGAAGCTCTTTGCCACATTCTCCTCACTGCTGAATCCCCCCCCCCCCCCCCCCCCTCCTCCCTCTCTGTGGATGACTTTGTCAACCACTTTGAAAAGAAGGTTGACGACATCCGATCCTCGTTTGTTAAGTCTAATGACACTGCTGGTCCTGCTCACACTGCCCTACCCTATGCTTTGACTTCTTTCTCCCCTCTCTCTCCAGATAAAATCTTGCGACTAGTGACTGCAGGCCGCCCAACAACCTGCCCGCTTGACCCCATCCCCTCCTCTCTTCTCCAGACCATCTCCGGTGACCTTCTCCCCTACCTCACCTCGCTGATCAACTCATCCTTGACCGCTGGCCATGTCCCTTCCGTCTTCAAGAGAGCGAGAGTTGCACCCCTTCTCAAAAAACCAACACTCGATCCCACTGATGTCAACAACTACAGACCAGTATCCCTTCTTTCTTTTCTTTCCAAAACTATTGAGCGTGCCGTCTTTAGCCAACTCTCTTGCTATCTCTCTCAGAATGACCTTCTTGATCCAAACCAGTCAGGTTTCAGGACTGGTCATTCAACTGAGACTGCTCTTCTCTGTGTCACGGAGGCTCTCCGCACTGCTAAAGCTAACTCTCTCTCCTCTGCTCTTGTCCTTCTAGACCTGTCTGCTGCCTTTGATACAGTGAACCATCAGATCCTCCTCTCCACCCTCTCCGAGCTGGGCATCTCCGGCGCGGCTCACTCCTGGATTGCGTCCTACCTGACCGGTCGCTCCTACCAAGTGGCGTGGCGAGAAGCTGTCTCCGCACCACGTGCTCTCACCACTGGTGTCCCCCAGGGCTCAGTTCTAGGCCCTCTCCTTTTCTCCCTATACACCAAGTAACTTGGCCCTGTCATATCCTCTCCTATCATTGCTACGCTGACGATATACAACTAATCTTCTCCTTTCCCCCTTCTGATAACCAGGTGGCGAATCGCATCTCTGCATGTCTGGCCGACATATCAGTATGGATGACGGATCACCACCTCAAGTTGAACCCTGGCAAGACGGAGCTGCTCTTCCTCCCGGGGAAGGACTGCCCGTTCCATGATCTCGCCATCACGGTTGACAACTCCGTTGTGTCCTCCTCCCAGAGTGCGAAGAGCCTTGGCGTGACCCTGGACAACACCCTGTCGTTCTCCGCTAACATCAAGGCGGTGACCCGATCCTGCAGGTTCATGCTCTACAACATTCGGAGAGTACGACCCTGCCTTACACAGGAAGCGGCACAGGTCCTAATCCAGGCACTTGTCATCTCCCGTCTGGATTACTGCAACTCGCTGTTGGCTGGGCTCCCTGCCTGTGCCATTAAACCCCTACAACTCATCCAGAATGCCGCAGCCCGTCTGGTGTTCAACCTTCCCAAGTTCTCTCACGTCACCCCCCTCCTCCGCACACTCCACTGGCTTCCAGTTGAAGCTTGCATCCGTTACAAGACCATGGTGCTTGCCTATGGAGCAGTGAGGGGAACGGCACCTCCGTACCTTCAGGCTCTGATCAGTCCCTACACCCAGGCGAGGGCATTGCGTTCATCCACCTCTGGCCTGCTGGCTCCCCTTCCTCTGCGGAAGCATAGTTCCCGCTCAGCCCAGTCAAAGCTGTTCGCTGCTCTGGCACCCCAATGGTGGAACAAGCTCCCTCACGACGCCAGGACAGCGGAGTCACTCACCACCTTCCGGAGACATTTGAAACCCCACCTCTTTAAGGAACACCTGGGATAGGATAAAGTAATCCTTCTACCCCTCCCCCCCCCCCCAAAAAAAAAGTATAATTGTAAAGTGGTTATCCCACTGGCTATAGGGTGAATGCACCAATTTGTAGTCGCTCTGGATAAGAGCGTCTGCTAAATGACGTAAATGTGCCCTTGAGCAAGGCACTTAACCCTAATTGCTCCTGTAAGTCGCTCTGGATAAGAGCGTCTGCTAAATGACTAAAATGTAAACAGTGAGAGACAGAATAACAACAAAAAAATCCAGAAAAACGCATGTCAAAAATGTTATAAATTGATTTGCATTTTAATGAGGGAAATAAGTATTTGACCCCTCTGCAAAACATGACTTAGTACTTGGTGGCAAAACCCTTGTTGGCAATCACAGAGGTCAGACGTTTCTTGTAGTTGGCCACCAGGTTTGCACACATCTCAGGAGGGATTTTGTTCCACTCCTCTTTGCAGATCTTCTCATTAAGGTTTCGAGGCTGACGTTTGGCAACTCGAACCTTCAGCTCCCTCCACAGATTTTCTATGGGATTAAGGTCTGGAGACTGGCTAGGCCACTCCAGGACCTTAATATGCTTCTTCTTGAGCCACTCCTTTGTTGCCTTGGCCGTGTGTTTTGGGTCATTGTCATGCTGGAATACCCATCTACGATCCATTTTCAATGCCCTGGCTGAGGGAAGGAGGTTCTCACCCAAGATTTGACGGTACATGGCCCCGTCTAGCGTCCCTTTGATGCTGTGAAGTTGTCCTGTCCCCTTAGCAGAAAAACACCCCCAAAGCATAATGTTTCCACCTCCATGTTTGACGGTGGGGATGGTGTTCTTGGGGTCATAGGCAGCATTCCTCCTCCTCCAAACACGGCGAGTTGTGTTGATGCCAAAGAGCTCGATTTTGGTCTCATCTGACCACAACACTTTCACCCAGTTCTCCTCTGAATCATTCAGATGTTCATTGGCAAACTTCAGACGGCCCTGTATATGTGCTTTCTTGAGCAGGGGGACCTTGAGGGCGCTGCAGGATTTCAGTCCTTCACGGCGTAGTGTGTTACCTATTGTTTTCTTGGTGACTATGGTCCCAGCTGCCTTGAGATCATTGACAAGATCCTCCCATGTAGTTCTGGGCTGATTCCTCACCGTTCTCATGATCATTGCAACTCCACGAGGTGAGATCTTGTATGGAGCGCCCCAGGCCGAGGGAGATTGACAGTTCTTTTGTTTTTCTTCCATTTGCGAATAATCGCACCAACTGTTGTCACCTTCTCACCAAGCTGCTTGGCGATGGTCTTGTAGCCCATTCTAGCCTTGTGTAGGTCTACAATCTTGTCCCTGACATCCTTGGAGAGCTCTTTGGTCTTGGCCATGGTGGAGAGTTTGGAATCTGATTGATTGCTTCTGTGGACAGGTGTCTTTTATACAGGTAACAAGCTGAGATTAGGAGCACTCCCTTTAAGAGTGTGCTCCTAATCTCAGCTCGTTACCTGTATAAAAGACACGTGGGAGCCAGAAATCTTTCTGATTGAGAGGGGGTCAAATACTTATTTCCCTCATTCAAATGCAAATCAATGTATAACATTTTTGACATGCGTTTTTCTGGATTTTTTTGTTGTTATTCTGTCTCTCACTGTTCAAATTAACCTACCATTAAAATTATAGACTGATCATTTCTTTGTCAGTGGGCAAACTACAAAATCAGCAGGGGATCAAATACTTTTTCCCCCCTCACTGTATATGTACATATCTACCTCAATTACCTCGTACCCCTGCACATGGACTCTGTACTAACTCCATGTATATAGCCATGTTATCTTTAATCATTGTGGATTTATTCCTTGTTATTGTTTTCCTATTATTTCAATTTTTTTCTCTCTGCATGGTTGGGAAGGCCACATAAGTATGCATTTCACTGTTAGTCTACACCTGTTGTTTACGAAGCATGTGACAAATACAATTTTATTTGATTTATGTTGAGATTACTATCATTAGCCATAATGGTAGGACAGCAGAGAATCAGTGCCTGGGGCTAACTATCCACTTTGCCCCATCTAGAAGGCTGGAAATAACATGGCTCAGTGACTTTGTCAAAAAGGTCAATGCTGTGCCAGTAGAACACATGATAGAGTACATCTCTCCCTTTTGCTGCATCCATTCGATACAACTTATCGATCCGGGCGGTGTTACATTTCTAGCTCAAACGAGTATTGTATATTTAGAGTGAGAAATGAATCGGCAGGATTTGAGAGGCATTCAGTAACAGGGATGTCTTTATCAGGGTACAGCCTCAGGGAAGATTAGTAATCGTATTGAGAAATGAGGATCCGCATGTTAGTAACCAAAAACAGGAGCCCATGTTTCACAGGTGTTGGCCCAGGCCACAGCAGCCACATCTGTGTGTGTGTATACACCTATCGTCAGTGCGCAGTCCTGTCTCCCAGGTCCCGTACTGGCTGTCTGTCTCGTGGACCAGTGTGTCTATGTCCCTCCCCTCTTCCTCACCATCCACACTCTGCTTCAACTGCTCCTGAGAGAGAGAGATGGGCAGGGAGAAAATGACAAGTCAGTATAAAAGGAGTAGAAGTGTATGTACCATTAGAGTATCACTAGAAGGTCAGAGAAAACAGATTCCAATATGACAGAACTGGAATCTGCTGGACTGAATCAAACTATCAAGGCTTCTTATTGGCTCTCGGTTCAATCCATCACCACGCCTGTGGAGTGAAGCCCCGCCCCGCCCAGCCTACAGTAACAGACAATTGGCCAGCTGAGTGTGTGTGAATGAGTGAGTGATTGAGAGGTGATGGTCCTGATAGCCATGTATTGTGTGGCTAAGGCCAACAGTGGGTGAGCAGGATAATGAGAGGTAATGGGATGAGCTCATAGGGACAGGGACAGAGACTGGTGAGCCACTGTGTGTTTGCTGTCTACTGAACCGAGTCTCTTTTAATGAGGCTGCTACAGAGGGCACACTATCCTAATACCACACTCACTCCTCCTGTGCATGCATTCAAGACTGTAAGCGCACGTGCACACACTCACACAAGAAGAGAAATCTCGCTGAACTTACATGATCTCTATTGACCTCCTTGACATAGTGCTATACAAATGCACTGTTGCATCACAACACAATAGGCTGTCTAAAGAGAATGATTGAAGGAAGTGTAATAGGTGTTTGGTTTGTGTGTGTGTGCACGGGAGTGAGAGCGAGGGCCAGAGAGAGAGAGAGAGAGAGAGAGAGAGAGGAGAGAGAGAGGGAGAGCGAGAGAAACAGAACAGGATGTCATTCATCATCAATGCCTTTCCTTTCAGGAAGAAAGAAGGTCAGGGAGAACAGTGAGAAACTCCCTCCATCTGAGAAAGCACAGTAGCCCCTCCTCTCCAGGTTTAACAGCCCTAAATATGATGCCTCTTTACATCACAGCATAGGCTTGTTTTCAAATCCACACCGTGATCTTTCTCCATGCCAAATCTGGCTTTAGCTGTCAAACAAGTATTAGAGTTACAGTTACAACCATTGGTTTGAACATGCTGGTCACATGACAAGACACCTCAGGAAAATGGTGGGCTGGGCTTGGGGTCAATTAAACAGGCAGGCTAATCCAGCTACATGCTTAGGCCTTTCAAAACAGGTTGGGTCAGTGTTCGAGTACAGCTACGTTTATCGACGCGAGGCCTTTATTGAGAAAAAGAGGAGTAACAATAGCAACAAAGTAAAGAGACGTCAAGTCATGTCTTGTCTGAAGCAGGAATGATTTATAATATGTCAAAAAACAGTCACACTTCATAACCCCTTTATAATATCATGAATTTCAGCCCTACAGGTCTGTACACATATCTAATTCACAGGACTAAGCATGTACCATTCATTAAGAAAATCTCTTGTAATCTAAATTCCTTGAACACCTACCATATCCACAGTGTACGTGGTTGAACTTTAGCACACCCAAACACACCCTCACTTAGTGTTTGCCACTCCTGAGGCTACCCTGTTACCTGTCAACCAAACAAAAGCAGCAAGACAGAGAGGGTTAAGAAATAACATGGACTGGCTGACTATTAGTGCTGCTGAAAGCCCTTCAGTATTGACAGTGTGAGGGTGTAGCTCTGCTATCAACAACCCACTTGATACAAGGACAGAGCAGGCCTGCCAGGCACCTTATCTGGTAAATAGGTTTCTTTCTGGCTGTGATTTTGACTCAGTCGTAGTGAAGCTGACTTTTCCTTAATAACGTTAGCCTTTGCCAGCCCCCTCCGACACCCCGCCTGTGGACAGGAAGGGTGCGTCAAGGGAAACGACAGAACAATGAGCGGATGAATGGAAGGAGAGAGGAGAGAAAGGGCTGATTACCAAGGGAGATTGACTGACAATCTGACATGTGGCTGAGGAAGTTGAGGCGGCCTTGGAAAGTTAGACCTACCAGACATCACGGCTCTGAATAATAACAGCCTGCCATGATTACACCATCACAGTCATCGACATGACCTGAGAGACCTTTCAATCAATCATGAAAATGTAGGCTAGTTAATTATAACATCCACTCTCTTATTTTAATCCAAAATTAAAATAAGGGTCGATGTGCTGAAAATATGATATAGCCTACATTGTCCAGGAGACAAATGACAATTATCGCCTACGCTCACATGACTGTGTCTTGCTGACTGTACCTTAGAACGAGCTACAATAAGACATGAAATTACAGGAGCTGATCTCTTTGAATTACTTTAAAGCTAGGGTAGAAACTATGGTGGACAATGAAGTGGGGTGCTTTCAATGTTTTGACACCTAAATGCACCACACCTCTACAAAGCATCTTGCCTGCTCAATGTGTAAATTCATGTTGCTAAACTGTAGTGTTTTATGTTGTAAATGTGCCTTTGCATGAAACTTTATGTGCTGGTAATTTGGCCAGGTCTCTCTTAAAAAAGGGGATTTTTAATCTCAATGAGACTAACCCGGTAAAATAAAACTGAAGGCCTAGTGAGTTGGATATGTTATGAATCTATTTCCTTAGTGCAAACTGGAAAATAACAGTTAATATCTGTCATACATAATGGCCATTCACACATCTCTATGAATGAGGAAGTGCTGTGCAGCTCTGACACATTTAACATATGGTCCTGCTGCCTGGAAGAAGACAACAGAGCAGGCCGGTTAGTTAGTGCAGGTACAATGAACCCAACACGAACATAACAGAACAATCATCACACCGGCCCCAGCCCCACTCTCCTGCTCCAACCCCTCTAGGTGGGAATGTTGAACAGTAAACACACCCATCATGGACAGGACAGGTCAATGACAACCCTCTGCAACTATCCTAACATGACTACAGATCTCAAGAGCACTTATCCCCTGTCAACAACAGAGCAGCACCCCAGACACATTTTACATACAGTGGGGGAAAAAAGTATTTAGTCAGCCACCAATTGTGCAAGTTCTCCCACTTAAAAAGATGAGAGACGCCTGTAATTTTCATCATAGGTACACGTCAACTATGACAGAGAAAATGAGAAAAATAATTCCAGAAAATCACATTTTAGGATTTTTAATGAATTTATTTGCAAATTATGGTGGAAAATAAGTATTTGGTCAATAACAAAAGTTTCTCAATACTTTGTTATATACCCTTTGTTGGCATTGACACAGGCCAAACGTTTTCTGTAAGTCTTCACAAGGTTTTCACACACTGTTGCTGGTATATTGGCCCATTCCTCCATGCAGATCTCCTCTAGAGCAGTGATGTTTTGGGGCTGTCGCTGGGCAACACAGACTTTCAACTCCCTCCAAAGATTTTCTATGGGGTTGAGATCTGGAGACTGGCTAGGCCACTCCAGGACCTTGAAATGCTTCTTACGAAGCCACTCCTTCGTTGCCCGGGCGGTGTGTTTGGGATCATTGTCATGCTGAAAGACCCAGCCACGTTTCATCTTCAATGCCCTTGCTGATGGAAGGAGGTTTTCACTCAAAATCTCACGATACATGGCCCCATTCATTCTTTCCTTTACACGGATCAGTCGTCCTAGTCCCTTTGCAGAAAAACAGCCCCAAAGCATGATGTTTCCACCCCCATGCTTCACAGTAGGTATGGTGTTCTTTGGATGCAACTCACCATTCTTTGTCCTCCAAACACAACAAGTTTAGTTTTTACCAAAAAGTTATATTTTGGTTTCATCTGACCATATGACATTCTCCCAATCCTCTTCTGGATCATCCAAATGCACTCTAGCAAACTTCAGACGGGCCTGGACATGTACTGGCTTAAGCAGGGGGACACGTCTGCCACTGCAGGATTTGAGTCCCTAGCGGCGTAGTGTGTTACTGATGGTAGGCTTTGTTACTTTGGTCCCAGCTCTCTGCAGGTCATTCACTAGGTCCCCCCGTGTGGTTCTGGGATTTTTGCTCACCGTTCTTGTGATCATTTTGACCCCACGGGGTGAGATCTTGCGTGGAGCCCCAGATCGAGGGAGATTATCAGTGGTCTTGTATGTCTTTCCATTTCCTAATAATTGCTCCCACAGATGATTTCTTCAAACCAAGCTGCTTACCTATTGCAGATTCAGTCTTCCCAGCCTGGTGCAGGTCTACCATTTTGTTTCTGGTGTCCTTTGACAGCTCTTTGGTCTTGGCCATAGTGGAGTTTGGAGTGTGACTGTTTGAGGTTGTGGACAGGTGTCTTTTATACTGATAACAAGTTCAAACAGGTGCCATTAATACAGGTAACGAGTGGAGGACAGAGGAGCCTCTTAAAGAAGAAGTTACAGGTCTGTGAGAGCCAGAAATCTTGCATGTTTGTAGGTGACCAAATACTTAATTTCCACCATAATTTGCAAATAAATTCATTACAAATCCTACAATGTGATTTTCTGGATTTTTTTTTCTCAATTTGTCTGTCATAGTTGACGTGTACCTATGATGAAAATTACAGGCCTCTCTCATCTTTTTAAGTGGGAGAACTTGCACAATTGGTGGCTGACTAAATACTTTTTTTCCCCACTGTAGCTACCAAAACACTGACCTCTGATGGAGAACTGAAAAGGACATGGTTAGGGTATTTTGTTCTGTCATTATTACATAAGTGTAATGTACAGACAAAGGCTCAGCAATGTACAAGTGTTTGCTAAGAATGCAGAGCACAACAGAATTTCAGTAAAACCTGACTGACTTGGCTTAATAACTTAAAGGGATACTTGGTGATTTTGGCAATGAGGCCCTTTATCTACTTTCCCAATGTCAGATGAACTCGTGGATACCATTTTTATGTCTCCGCATGCAGTTGAAAGAAGTTGCTAACTATCGCTAGTGTAATTGCTAACTAGCGTTAGCATAATGACTGGAAGTCTATGGTATCTGCTAGCATTGGATCTAGTTAGCATTGGATCGCAAACTACCTCTAACTTCCTTCATACTTGACAAAGAGAAACAAAAATGGTACCCACAAGTTCATCTGACTCTTTCATTGCCAAAATCCTGATGTATCCCTTTAAGACCAGTGGGCCTGGCTGATCCAGGCTGCAGGTTAGAGGCCTGGGTCCAGAGGGAGAGGTGGTGGGTTCAGGTCAGCTGGGTCAGCCTGAGGGAGAACAGGGCCTATTACAGGGATCTGGATGATCCACCAGCTGACTCTCAGGTACTGTACGGACAACTAACACAGGCTCCAGCTAAAAAGGACACACGTACACACAAAAACCAGACGGAGAGAATTAATCGGTAAAGGGCTGCCGTGTCTGTGGGGTTTTGTTTATGCGTTGCATTCAGAAACTGATTAAGACGTGAGAGTCCAGGTGTGTGGACTTTCTGGGCATTAGATGATGTGGAGGGGCGGGAAGAAACAGCATTTTAAAAAAGCATTTTAGTCATTTACCAGGTGCTCTTATCCAGAGCGACTTACAGTAGTGAGTGCATACATTTTCATACTTTTCGTACTGGTCCCCCGTGAGAATCGAACCCACAACCCTGGCGTTGCAAGCGCCATGCTCTACCAACTGAGCCAAACAGGACCCTTCAGGACTGGAGTTGTACATGTGCACCATCCATCCAAGCAGCCCCACCTCCACCCCTCGGTCCTTTCAGTAGGTAGACCACCCCAACCCCTCTCCCACCATCCTCACTACCGCTCCATTAGCTGGTTGGCCCCTGTCCACCTCTTTCTCCCCACATCTCACTGGCCTCAGTGCTCTGACCATTCATCACATCCTCTCTCCTTACAGGCAGTACACACTGGTTCTCCTGTTCAATGACACACAAACAAGCTAGACCTAATCTGTAAATCTAGCATAAAATGCAATCAAACTGTATCATGACTAACAGCTCAAAATAACACACTTCCTCCTCATCATCATCTCACACCCAGACCTCATTGTCCAAGGAAAGACACCACCCCCCCCAACTGACCTACAATGTCATTACACACCTACTGCAACTGCATGGCATCCATATACAGTGAGGGAAAAAAGTATTTGATCCCCTGCTGATTTTGTATGTTTGCCCACTGACAAAGAAATGATCAGTCTATCATTTTTATGGTAGGTTTATTTGAACAGTGAGAGACAGAATAACAACAAAAAAATCCAGAAAAATGCATGTCAAAAATGTTATAAATTGATTTGCATTTTAATGAGGGAAATAAGTATTTGACCCCCTCTCAATCAGAAAGATTTCTGGCTCCCACGTGTCTTTTATACAGGTAACGAGCTGAGATTAGGAGCACACTCTTAAAGGGAGTGCTCCTAATCTCAGTTTGTTACCTGTATAAAAGACACCTGCCACAGAAGCAATCAATCAATCAGATTCCAAACTCTCCACCATGGCCAAGACCAAAGAGCTCTCCAAGGATGTCAGGGACAAGATTGTAGACCTACACAAGGCTGGAATGGGCTACAAGACCATCGCCCAGCAGCTTGGTGAGAAGGTGACAACAGTTGGTGCGATTATTCGCAAATGGAAGAAACACAAAAGACTTGTCAATCTCCCTCGGCCTGGGGCTCCATGCAAGATCTCACCTCGTGGAGTTGCAATGATCATGAGAACAGTGAGGAATCAGCCCAGAACTACACGGGAGGATCTTGTCAATGATCAAGGCAGCTGGGACCATAGTCACCAAGAAAACAATTGGTAACACACTACGCCGTGAAGGACTGAAATCTTGCAGCGCCCGCAAGGTCCCCCTGCTCAAGAAAGCACATATACAGGCCCGTCTGAAGTTTGCCAATGAACATCTGAATGATTCAGAGGAGAACTGGGTGAAAGTGTTGTGGTCAGATGAGACCAAAATCAAGCTCTTTGGCATCAACTCAACTCGCCGTGTTTGGAGGAGGAGGAATGCTGCCTATGACCCCAAGAACACCATCCCCACCGTCAAACATGGAGGTGGAAACATTATGCTTTGGGGGTGTTTTTCTGCTAAGGGGACAGGACAACTTCACCGCATCAAAGGGACGATGGACGGGGCCATGTACCGTCAAATCTTGGGTGAGAACCTCCTTCCCCCAGCCAGGGCATTGAAAATGGGTCGTGGATGGGTATTCCAGCATGACAATGACCCAAAACACACGGCCAAGGCAACAAAGGAGTGGCTCAAGAAGAAGCACATTAAGGTCCTGGAGTGGCCTAGCCAGTCTCCAGACCTTAATCCCATAGAAAATCTGTGGAGGGAGCTGAAGGTTCGAGTTGCCAAACGTCAGCCTCGAAACCTTAATGACTTGGAGAAGATCTGCAAAGAGCAGTGGGACAAAATCCCTCCTGAGATGTGTGCAAACCTGGTGGCCAACTACAAGAAACATCTGACCTCTGTGATTGCCAACAAGGGTTTTGCCACCAAGTACTAAGTCATGTTTTGCAGAGGGGTCAAATACTTATTTCCCTCATTAAAATGCAAATCAATTTGTAACATTTTTGACATGCGATTTGACATGCGACATCGATTTTTTTGTTGTTATTCTGTCTCTCACTGTTCAAATAAATCTACCATTAAAATTATAGACTGATCATGTCTTTGTCAGTGAGCAAACGTACAAAATCAGCAGGGGATCAAATACTTTTTTCCCTCACTGTATAGTCTTTATCCAAACATGGATTCCAGTACTGTTGTTGACTGCTATATACACAAACTACAGTAGCCCTTGACACTCGTACTTGTATACGGGTTGAAAATGGCCTAAATTGGAACGCAGTGGCTGTACAGTAACATGCTATAAAATGACATCAAAGCTCAGGCTCTCCGCTTCAGAGCGCTGTATGGGTTTTGACTGACAGACGTTCTGAACTTGAGCACCACACGACAAGAAGTTGCCCCCATCCCTTCCACTAATTGGGCACATTTTGCAACATTTTTGTTGTCTGCGTGAGGGAAATGCTGTAAATTAAGAGGACTCAGTGTATTTTGAAAGATGAGACATTGAGGATTATAATAAATACTGCTTTGTCATACAAGCAAGCCAAACACCTGTGAGTCCAAATGCCCACTTCACATTTCCATATCATAAAACTCATGTAATATACCGTGTCAACGTTTATGATCACTATGTTTGATGTACAGTTATAAGATGACATGGCGTCATTCCCTGGGTTGTCCTAAACAGAATGAGCCTGTTTGTCTATTGGGAAGAAAATTTGCCGCGGAACACGCACCTGAATGCGCTCATGACTCCTTTCTGTGCGCACCAAAATTACAATCTGTTTCTCTGAATTGCCTTGTGAAAGCTTAACACTAAGATCATATTTTATAACTTAGCTAGTCATGTTGGCAATAGAATAAACTTTCAAATGATGCCCACCTGACCCAGATTGTGATTTATAATGGTCAGTTTTTGGATTGCGTAAACAACAGTAATTGTGTAAAGGTGGGGATGCAGGGTTGTGTTCCAAACAAAACAACTACAAGTGTGCTTGCTCTAGTTCCTCAACAGCACAGCTAGGAGAGCTCTAAAATGCACCTTATAGATGAAGACTCTTCTTTGAGCCATAAAAGTGCATTGAAGTTACTTAGGAACTGTGCACACTTCGGAGAGGTGTGTGGCCACTTGGAGACACCAGTTAGTCCTCTCACTCAAACCCTTGTCATTTTTTTTGTCTTATGTTGCACCTACCCCACATTTTCCAGGAAAAATCTTATGTTACTGAATGCATCCAGAGTATTTTAAGATTCCGTTATCAACAAATACTGCGAAAAGTACATTAAATGTAAAATGCACATAAAATCAACAGTGTAATGTTTGGATTCAGTCTCGTATCAGGTGAACTGTTGTGTCCTCAACATTGGTCTAATAATTGTCCCATAATCTTCAAACTGTTCCCTTTCAATTGATAACATGCTTATGCATATGATTTTCATATTTCTTCAGTAAGAAACATTTCAATTTAGCCCTATCGATATAGGCCAATTCCCAAGAGTGTAAAGGGTTAAAAGGGGGGTGGGGGGGGAGAAACCCAACTCCAGCCCACAGTAAGCTATGACCTAAGGAGCCAGTGACACTGCTGCTGGAGTGGGCGCTATGGTGCACACATACAGACAAAGGTTAGTGTTATGTAAAAGATGGTATCAGAGGAGGAGATAGAGAGAGACACTAGCAGATGAGGCGCATATGGGGGTGAGCAGTGAACAAAAGCAGAACATTCAGGAACTATCAGGATCAGAGAGAGAAATCCCATGGCAACATAAATAGACAAAGACATGAAACACACAAATAGAGAAGGCGTGTTTGAGGTGCTTGGAATGTGTAATGACTGACGGAAGGACAGTTGGTGGTAAGAGGGATTGATGAGGGGGAGTGAGTGTAAACAAAGTGTGTGTGTCTTACTGCGGTGGGGGTGTTGGGGGTGCTGCTCCCAGGGCGCCTGCGTAGGGAGAGGCGCTGCTGGCTGCGTAGCGAGAACCTGCGGAAAGAGTCCCGGCTGCGAGAGGCCAGAGAACGTAACGAGTTGGCCCTCTTGAAGCCACCAGGGCTGTCCTCAGCCCCCCTGCCCCCACGTTCCACCGCACTGGACACAACGCTGAGCGCCCCCTGCAGGGAGCGGCGTACGTTCCCCATCCAACCAGACACCTGGGACTGGGCCACTGACAGCTTGTCCCCCAGGTACTCCATCTCAGTTTAGATCAGATCACTGAAGGACCAACGTCGCAGAATGAAGTCTGGACAGAGCGCTCAGTCAGACGGAGGTCCAGTAGCAGTCCAGTGTGTTAATGTGGTCGAGGGAGAATCCTTGAGCCAGGTAGAGCTCCAGGTCCAGAGCTGGTGTCCTGGATACTGCTGAGGTGCGTAGCTAGGTCAATGCTGCAGTAGCTGGGCTGTTTGTAAGGGATAGCACAGCCAGTCAGACGCCCTAGTGTCTCCAAAAACATGCAGCACTTGGCTCCGGCTACAGGCTCCAGTCCAGCTACACTGCCCCACGGTGCCTCTCAGTGAGCCTCTGTGTTGTTGAGTCCCACTGGAGCCGTCATGGCTCCCTTTCAGTCCATCATCGGCAGCAATGGCCCTAGAATCTGGGGCTAAGGTGAACTCTATTTAAGCTTTCTGTTGTTCTGCAAGATGCCTATTTCCATACAGTTATACAGAAGGGCAAGACCATGTAGCGGGGAACCCAAAAGGGTATATAAGGCCGTTCTACAGATAACCCCAGCTGGTAGAGACTCCGGTGTGACGATGTGATCACAGCAGATCTACTACTGCACCGTCTGCAAACAGGTTCTTCACAGCCACATACTGATGGTCACACCAAGTAGCAGCAACAACAAAAAATCTCACACACATACCCCTCACACATCAAACCTAACAGCGGGATCCCGAAGCCGTCGCTGCTGCCGTCGCTCTGACGTCCGGAATCACAGAGGAACACAATCCATAAATCTACCTCTCCATAGTGTCCACGCTGCTGTCGTCATCCTGGTGGAAAACTTTACAGGAAAACAACAGTCCAGGAGAGAACAGCTGGTGTCAGGCAGACTGAGGGAGAGCTGTACTCATTCCTATTCCCGCTGAGTACCCAGCACACCAACAGCAGAGCAGCGCCGTGGATATAGAAGCACAAACAGGAGAGGAGATTGTGATGCTAAAGTTGAACCCAGAAGAGACTAAACGAGACCAGCGCCCTCTCCTTGCCTTCCTCTTCCCCTGCAAGTATGGGCAGGTAGAGGACTAATGCGTCAGTCTCTTGCTCCTAGTCCCCAGCACTACAGGACTCACGCTCAAGGAGAAACCTTGGGAACAGAGTGAGGGAGGGGAGAGAGGAGGAGAGGGAGGAGGAGAGAGAGGGGAGGGAGGAGGGGAGAGAGGGGAGGGAGGAGGGGGAGAGAGAGAGGAGGCAGGGATAGAGGAGGAGATAGAGGGAGGGAGGAGGGGATAGAGAGAGGGAGGGAGGGAGGGAGGAGGGGAGGGAGGGAGGGAGGGAGGGAGGGAGGGAGGAGGGGATAGAGAGAGGGAGGGAGGGAGGGAGGAGGGGAGGGAGGGAGGGAGGAGGGGAGGGAGGAGGGGAGGGAGGGAGGGAGGAGGGGATAGAGGGAGGGAGGAGGAGCGGATAGAGGGAGGGAGGAGGAGCGGATAGAGGGAGGGAGGAGGGGATAGAGGGAGGGCCCGGATTTGCAGTGCAGGAGGGTGATATGTTCTGCAGTGCTCCGTCTCTCTTGCCTGTTTCTGCTTGCAGTGCAAGAGAGAATTCTCACAGGCATAGTCAGCACTTGGCACAGGGCGGAGGGGGTGGGAAGAAAAGACAGGAGGGATGGGGAATGTGTGTGATAGTGATAGGAACTAAGAGATGTTTATGTTGTTGAGCCTATACCTTCAAATAGATAGAGAACGCATGCCTGAGAGAAAGAGAGAAGGGATGAGACAGGTGTGGCTGTGTGTGAGAGTTGGGATTGTGGTTGTCTGTCAGCAGCACACAGTGAGCTCATGGCTAAAGAGAGGAATCACGACAGTGTGTCAGAGAATTTGCCTAACAAATGGCTCTCTGACTCATGCAAACTGCATGTCAGGTCAGAGAACTCTCTCCTTTCCCCTTTCAGAACTCCACCGTACCTACCAGAGTCATCTCTCTGAGTTAAGCCTTAGTGAGTAAGTAAGATACTCTATAACTTACTGAGGTTATGTTGGATACTGTGGTGTTTGTGGTCCTCTGTAGCTCAATTGGCATGGCGCTTGTAACGCCAGGGTAGTGGGTTTGATCCCCGGGACCACCCATACGTAAAAATGTATGCACACATGACTGTAAGTCGCTTTGGATAAAAGCATCTGCTAAATGGCATATTATTATTATTATTATTATTATTATTATTATTATTATTATTATTATTATTATTATTATAAGACAACCGTGGCACCTCAAACTGTGCCCCCTGGTGGGCGTCTGGAGAATAGTTCTGAGGAACATTGATCTAAAACCCTCCTGGAATCATTCTATAGCTAGAAATCACAGTTCTTGCCACAAACATACAGACTCAAGTTTCATCAACACTAACTGACTATGGAGAAAATGGTTTTACTAAAGGAAAATAACTAATAAGAAATGTCCAGCAAAACATATGACTCAAATACGCATCACCCAGTGTTTTAATGATGAAGTCACACTTGAAGCACAACCAGCCACGGTGACAAAGCATATATGGGGCTATTATAACTTGCTTCGTTCAAACATATAATAGCCAGTAGCCACACATTCCTAGCTATACGAAGGCCCTCAGGTCACCTCTAAAGAGAGTCCACAAAGGGAAGCAGACCTAATGTCTTCAGTTCTGTCTATTCTAGTCTGTCCTCTCCCTTGCTCCCAATACACTTACATATTGCAATATTATTTTGGATGATATATCGATACCTTGACTCCAAGTATCGTTTTTTTGTTTGCTAGCTAGGGTTAGCTAGTGCTAGTCGACTCTACCTGTGCCAAAACGCTGGTATTTTTCATCCTATAGCTTGTTCCCCCATCTTCTTTTTAAATAGTGAGCCAACATGTTTTCAGCACTTTTATTTCCATGACTGATCAAAACTCATTTTCTCATTATGTCTCTTGTCTCTCTGCAGCAGACATATAGTGAGCAATATGTTTGGAACATCAAATCGGAAATAAAATCGCAGTATCGAATCGCAATACATATATCGGCACCTAAGTATCATGATAATATCATATTGTGAGGTCCTTGTCAATTCATAGCCCTACTTGCTTCCTTGCTCTGATTTAACGATCTCCCATCACTTACCCACAGCCAGTGTAGAGGCCTCAGACAGCACAACAGCCTCATGTAGTACAACATGTCTCTGAACCTGGCGACCATCTCCGTCTTTACCTCTCCCCTCTCTTCTCTTCCTCTGCCCTCTCTAACCATGCCATTAGTAATGATGTAATCATACCACTGTGATCTCATGAGAGATATACATACATTTCCCATAGTTCCATAGTGCACTCTCACACTAGGCTTAAACCTCCATACTGATACAGAAAAACACTATCACAACAGAAAGCGACATCGAGTCATTGACACGTGCTGACAGAAAAGGAATTCCCCATCTATAATGCATCTCCTTGTTCCCCCAAACAGAAATTATATAACTTGGGGGAAAAGGTGTAGGTGTTATGTCAATAATTCATTCTAGACCAGGTATTTCACACTTGTGTCTCCAGTTGCTCTACACAATTAAAGACTAGAATCCCTGCAGGGTTTCCACTGGGAAAATGTGCTGCCGGACATTTGACTGGCAGCATTTTAATTTACAGGACATTTGAGAAATGTACCGGACCCATGTGCATTGGGTGCATAACCTGATTAGGGCGTCCACCCACGGTGCTCAGAAGGACAGAAATCACATGTAGATTATGGTAACTCATATTAACAGAACATGCAACGATGTGAGGTCCTTCTTACCTAATTCTGATGCGCACTTTGAAGATGTTAGAATAACTGTCCACATTTACTTTCCCTCAGCCAACAAGACGAGTAACGAACAGCAAAATCATTAACCTATGTCAATCTACTATCCCCCACAGTAGAAAAGTTTACCTTTTCTCTTGCTCAGCTTGTGGAGAAAGAAATAGCCTATTCCAAACGGACTCTGGGACAGTTATGGGATGATAGATCCCACATTCCTCCAACCAGTAGGCTACATTTAAACAAAATAACGTTAAAAAACAATGAACCTGATACAACAGATCCGAACATTTAGCTTAAAATGTTGATAAACTATTATTTCTTAACATTATTAGCACAGCAATGTGCACAAGGCAGTAGGCTAGGCTACTCCTGAAGGTTTGTTCCATAACGCTATTAGCTGGAAAACACTTGTCAAAAGCACACCGCATGCGAGCGGTTTCATGTGAGAGATGAAAATATCCATTAGAAAGAGGGGAGATCTAATATGCAACAACTAGCATGGGGCTGCTTGCTAATATGACTAGGATTGTGCCTTTGGCTACTGAGCAATGAAAGAAAGCGTTTATAAAATAATTGCCTCCACAGATATGGTCTGATTTTGGCTAGGCTACTTTGAAGCAAGGTAAGACATAATATGTAGTAAAACGTTCAGGTTTTAAACAATTAAGTATGTTTTCAAAATGCATACTGCCTCCAGCTCATTGCAAAGTGCTGCGTGATGCACTGATGAAGCCTGCCTTCCGTTGCCTATGAATTTGCTGTTTGGGATGATGTAGCAGCAGTTCTCGCACTGTCTGACAGATTATCCGCTCAAAGGCTCTGTATGCGTGTGATAAATAAGATACATAACAAATATACTGTACACACGCCCCAATTTAATTCCACTAAATAATGCAAATTACCCTATAGACCGATAAGCATGACCAGTCAAATGTATTTCCATCGGCTGGTATTTCCATCAATGAATAGGCTAAAAAGCATTATTTCGCAACTGGGATTTTTTCTTCTTCTGCTCCCGGTGGCATTTCTTTTAATAATAATAAAATAACAATTTGCCAAACGCCGGCTATTACCGGTTAAAGGAAAGCCTGAATCCCTGGTAATTGCAGCACCACTCAGGCTCTCAACATATTGTATTACACACCAACCACAGACCAGCAGGTGGTGACAGAAACACACAGAAACTCATCATGGAGTAACACAGTGACGGCTCATTGGAGGAGGACAGCCCACTGCTGCAGCACAGCCTTGCTTTATCAAATCAAAGCTGCATTTTTTCCGTTCAATTTCTTCTGATCTAATGAATGTATTGGTATGGTATGCTTATAAACATTTCACTTTCGGCCATTTACACTTGGGCCGATGTAAACGTGTAGCTGGCATTTGCTTAGTCTCTGGATGGAATCCTTTGTAGCACAGGCTGATATGTAGACAGGTGCTTAAAGATGCACTATGCAGAAATCGCTCCGCCATTTCCTGGTTGCTAAAATTCTAATAGTTCGCCTAATGTCAGTTTACAAAACAAGCAAGTATAGTGTAGAGAATCATTGTACCATCTACACCGCTGTGAAATATATTTTCTATAACCAAAGATATTGTATTTTCAGCTATTTGAAGATGGTGTACAAAACCGAAAGTAAAAGGAAAAACTAAACTTAAATGGGAAGCATAGAAATTGCGCACATAGAACAGATCTACCGCTTCTTAAACTTGCTTTCAATAATAATGACAGATCTATAACTCACATTTCTATTAAAATAAAAGGAATATCAATATCACTATGGCCAATTTCACAGAAGAGCCTTTCTTCAGCTATGCAAACAGGGTGGTGTCAAAGTGAGCAGCATATGTACTTATTAACTCTTTGACTAATCACAATCCTGAATTACAGGCCTGAGAACATATTTGGCCTCAATTTCTCTGCTTTGTGTGGTAAAAGAGGGTGGAGATGAGTGAGAGAGAAAGACCATGCCTTTCACATTACTCATCAACTCATTACTCCCAGTGCTCCGCATAGCACTCAACTCTCCCAGTGAACTAACTGCATTCCTACTCCACCCTACTGTAACACAACATTACATTTTTTCCAAATAATGATTAAACATAGAACCGATGGGGCTCCAATTGTTACCATGTTGAAGCAGTGTAATTTCACTGTAGCAAAAGCTCATTTCTGAAACACGTCTAGCTTTGAGTCAGAAATTAGGTGATTTGTGTGTGTTTATACCCGTGTGCATGGAAACCGAGCATCATGACTCACCCAGCTCTGTCGGCCCCTCTCTCTATGTGCACTCCTGCTCCTCATCCTGGACAGGGTCCCCTCCACAGCACTCTCAGACGGGGCCGATCGACGGGACACACTGCGGGACCTCATCCGGTTCAGCTCCTAAAACACAGGGATAGTAGAATTAAATCTAATATTTACACGAAAGTACTTGTACTAGTTGAATTCCCATAGGTAAAAAGAGAGATGTCGCATAGAGCTTACTTCATATTTTATTATTTTAGTGCATTAGGAGAATAACACACACACACACCGATGTTTTGGCTTTTGCCTTCAGTGCGCAGGTTCAAATCTTACAATCAGGAACAACTTTTCTAGGGAACACAGGTGAGCACCGTTCAGGTGCTTCTAATCAGTGTAGTTGGTCATCTGCCAATCAGGGATGGCTTCTCTGGTCTACCTGTATACATGTTACAATCACACAAAACATACAGAATTATAGGATATGTGGCCAAAGGTATGTGGACACCTGCTCGTCGAACATCTCATTCCAAAATCATGGGCATTAATATGGAGTTGGTCCCCCCTTTACTGCTATAACAGCCTCCACTCTTCTGTGAAGGCTTTCCACTAGATGTTGGAACATTGCTGCGGGGACTTCCTTCCATTCAGCCACAAGGTCAGGCATTGATGTTGGGTGATTAGGCCTGGCTTGCAGTCGGCGTTGCAATTAATCCCAAAGGTGTTCGATGGGGTTGAGGTCAGGGCTCTGTGCAGGCCAGTCAAGTTCTTCCACATGCTGTTGCCACAAAGTTAGAAGCACAGAATAGTCTAGAATGTCATTGTATGCTATAGCATTAAGATTTCCCTTCAGCCCGACCCATGAAAAACAGCCCCAGACCATTATTCCTCCTCCACCAAACTTTACAGTTGGCACTATGCATTTGGGCAGCTACCGTTTTCCTGGCATCCGCTAAACCCAGATTCGTCCATCGGACTGCCAGCGACTGAAGCGTGATTCATCACTCCAAAGAACGGGTTTCCACTGCTCCAGAGTCCAATGGAGGCGAGCTTTACACCACTCCAGCCGACCTTGGCATTGCGCATGGCGATCTTAAGCTTGTGTGCAGCTGCTCGGCCATGAAAACCCATTTCATGAAGCTCCCGAAGAACAGTTCTTGAGCTGACATTGCTTCCAGAGGCAGTTTGGAAGTCAGTAGTGTTGCAACCGAGGACAGACGATTTTTAAACGTTACACGCTTCAGCACTCGGTGGTCCCGTTCTGTGAGCTTGTTTGGCCTACTACTTTGCGGCTGAGTCGTTGTTGCTCCTAGACGTTTCCACTTCACAATAACAGCACTTACAGTTGACCGAGGCAGCTCTAGCAGGGCAGAAATTTGACAAACTGACTTGTTGGAAAGGTGGCATCCTATGACGGTGCCACGTTGAAAGTCACTGAGCTCTTCAGTAAGGACATTCTACTGCCAATGTTTGTCAATGGAGATTGCATGGCTGTGTGCTCGATTTTATACACCTGTCAGCAATAGGTGTAGCTGAAATAGCCAAATCCACTAATTCGAAGGGGTGTCCACATACAGGCGTGAACCGTTCAATAATCAATTTAATTGCCTTAGGTGTCTGCTTACTTGGGTATACCTTATTTCAATTTATGAGATAGCTTGCCACAAAGGACACCAGGCTGTTCATAAATATGTGGGGCTAACTCAAAGTACACCTAAGGCAATTGATTATTGAACGGTTCACCCCTGATACTCCCAATTGCCTTCTGTGCCCGCTCCCATGTACTTTCTTTGTGATTGTAACATGTATACAGGTCAGGGCTCTCCAACCCTGTTCCTGGAGAGCTACCGTCCTGTAGGTTGTCACTCCAACCCTAATCTAGCGCAACTGATTCTAATAATTAGCTGGTTGATAAGCTGAATCAGGTTATTTACAACTGGGGTTGGAGTGACAACCTACAGTAGGGTAGCTTTCCAGGAACAGGGTTGGAGAGCCCTGATACAGGTAGATGAGAGAAGCCATCCCTGATTGGCAGATGACTAACCTGATTAGAAGCAAAAGTTGTTCCTGATTGTAAGATTTTAACCTATACCCTGAAGAAGGCGAAAGCTGAAATGTCTGAGTATGTTATTCTCCTAATGCAGTAAAACAATATAAATCAAAAAATGAGTAAGTAAGCTCTATGCTATGTATTTTTTGAGTGCGGACCCATCACTCTTTTTTACCTATCTGGATCAGCGGGTTTTACGCAACAAACTAATTTTGGGGAGAGCGCGATGGTCCTTTTTTGATTAGTCATTATTAGCGGTTGAATTCACTGAATTTTGTGCTCTGTAGATGCCATTCACTCATATAGCCTAGGTCTCTCTATAATATACTTTTCTTACCTGGGAGCCCTGAGATCTCCTCTGTCCTCTGGCCTCTACCATGTGCCCCTGGGGCTCAGAGTCCTGGGGGAACCAGGTCTGCTCCATGGGGGACCCAAGGCTGTGGGGCTCTCTCCTGGGGAAAGATGGTTCACTGGGCATACCAGACCAGCGTCTCTCTGGGACCAGGATGGGGGCCGTGACCCTGTCCAACTGCCTGTGGAGGAGCTGCTCCAGGCTGGGTTTATTGGCAGGCTTCCTGGGTGGCTCTGGTCCAGCCATGGGCCTATCCACTGATTCCTCATCGATGCCTAGCCTTTGCTCCCACAGCTCCTGCTGAGAGGGGGCCCACACTGGGCTGGGTCGCCCAACTGCACCCACCCTACGGCTACCTTCCCTCTCTGGAGTGTGGGATCTCACCCCACTACCTGGGTCTGAGCCCTTGATGCCAGCGATAGGGAACACCTCTCTAGTGGGCGAGGGCTGCATCTGGGTCTGGGACCTGAATGAGTCTATGTCCAGGATGCCAGGCCTGTAGTGGTCTTCTGCTCGGGGAGAGGGCTGCTTCCATCGGACACCAGGGGAGTGGGAACTGCCTCTGGAGTGCTGGTCACCCAGAGACACAGAGTCTAGATCCAGCACTTTAGGTCTGAGAGGTAAGGAGTCCAGCACCCCCCTCTCCTGGTTCTCTCTCCTCTGTCTCTCCTCCTGTTGTCTAGCTACCGGTCTCATCTTCTCCTGCTCCTCTTTCTCCATCTTCTCCCTCAGTCTCTGCTTTTCAAGCTCATGAAGATGTTGTCTCTCTCGCTCATTCTGTTTCTGTTTCTCAATCAGTTGTCTTCTCTCCAGGTCTGTTATTCTCTCCAATGCCTCTACCCTCTGTCTCTCCCTCTGGTTTTCCAACTCCTGTCTCTTAATGTCAAACTGTTTCTGTCTCTGCCTCTCCAACTCTCTCTGTCTTTGTATTTCCAGATCACGCTCCCCTTTTCTCCCCAACTCTTTTTGTCTCTCCCTCTCCAACTCCCTCTGTCTGTCTACCTCCTGTTGTATTGCTTGTTGTCTCATCTTCTCCTGCTCCTCTTTCTCCATCTTCTCTCTCAGTCTCTGCTTTTCAAGCTCCAGAAGCTGTTGTCTCTCTCTCTCAGCCTGCTTCTGTTTTTCAAACCTAAACAGTTGCCTTCTCTCCATTTCTTTTATTCTCTCCAACTCTTCAACCCTCTGTCTCTCCAACTTATTCTGTCTCTCTAAGTCTAACTGTTTCTGCCTCTCCTTTTCAAACTCTTTCTGTCTCTCCAGCTCACGCTGTCTCTCCCTCTCCAGCTCTCGCTGTCTCTCCCTCTCCAGCTCTCGCTGTCTCTCCCTCTCCAGCTCTCGCTGTCTCTCCCTCTCCAGCTCTCGCTGTCTCTCCCTCTCCAGCTCTCGCTGTCTCTCCCTCTCCAGCTCTCGCTGTCTCTCCCTCTCCAGCTCTCGCTGTCTCTCCCTCTCCAGCTCTCTCTGTCTCTCCCTCTCCAGCTCTCGCTGTCTCTCCCTCTCCAGGTCTCTCCGTCTCTCCCTCTCCAGGTCTCTCCGTCTCTCCTTTTCCAACTCATTTTGTCTCTCCCTTTCTAATTCTCTCTGCTTCTCCATCTTTCTCTTTCTTGCATATTCTAACTGTTTCTGTCTCTCCATTTCCAGCTGTCTCTGTTTCTCCCTCTCAACCTCCTTTCTCTCCCTCTCCATCTCCATCTCCCTCTCAAACTCCTTTCTCTCCCTCTGCTGTTCTTTCTCCCTCTCCAATTCTCTTACTTTCTCAAGGTCTACTTGTTTCTGTTTTTCTATTTCCATCTCCTCCATCCCGGTCTGTCTGTCCCATGCCATTCCTCTCCCCCTTTCCTGGGTTTGCTTCCTTTCCATCAGTTCCTCTTCTTGTTCTTGACCTTGGGGGATTTTCCCAAAAGCTTTGCCTAGAGAGGGGTTCCTTTGTACCTTCCCTTGAGAACCCCATTGTCCAGACATCACAGAAAAATCGTCAAAGGGCACTTCCATGTCCCCTCTCCCTGTTCCCTCATCCCCATGGGATATGACTTCCTGGATCTGACCAGTCAGAGCAAAGTAGGTGGCCCTGGGTTTGGGTGGCTGCTCATCTGCCTCCAGCATTTTCAACCGCTTCGGTGCTGCCACTTCCTCTCTCTCCCTGTCCTGCTCTCTCGGCTTCTCCCTCTCTACATCTATTTGCATCCTCCTCTCTGCTTCCCTCTGCCTCTCTTTCTCCTCCTCCCTTCTCTCCCTCTCCATTTGTCTCTCCTTTTCCATTTCCCTTCCTTTCTCTACCTCTGCCCCCCTATCCACCTCAGTGGTATTCCACTTCTGCAGAGCTCCAACCCTCAGGTAGCATGGTCCCTGTTCATGTTGGGAGGCTGGTGCTCCCCTCTGAGCCGAACTGAGGTCTCCTTGGACCTGAGCAGATATCTCCTCCACTGGCTCAGCCCTAGCTGGCCTGTTCCCCTCAGAACGCCTGGAACGGAGGGTCATGGCCTTGTCTTCCAGCTGAGCCGAGGGGAGACTCTCACTAACGGCTCTCCTCTCTCCCACCGCCTGCACCGTGTCAAACAAGTGCTCCACACGGAGCGGGCTGGAGGGGGACACAGGCTCGCGGTAGGGGGACACAGGCTCGCGGTAGGGGGAGGTGACCAGGCTGCCGCCGTTCTCCCCATCCCCCAGTTTGAGAGAGACACTTCTCTTTGGACAGTTCTTTGTGATGCTCTGCGCCCTGTCCTCCTCCATCACGCTGTGTCTCTCCACCACGTTCTCAAACAGGGCTGCTCGCACAGTCTGCACCCCACTGCTCGGGTGGCTCTCCTGGGCCTCAATCTCCATCCCCCGCCATGCCGCAGTCCTTCCAGCTGAGGGGCCGGAAGAGGCCTGGGTGGGCTGCTCTTTGGACCCTCTGGTGTCTTCATCCACCTTTCTTTGGTCACTGAAGATGAAGACTGAGTCCTGCCCCTAGAATTAAGTAATTCAAAGAGTTTGGCTAAGTTTATTCAGATTCTGCATGATCATCATGAACTTAGTATTATTTGCAGAGAGTATTATATAATGACAGAGAAAAAGAGAGGGTGATACAAAGACAAGTGATTGATTGAGTGAGGCAACTGTGTCTGGGCAGAAAGGGGATCCCACTCCTCTTTGTTGGGCCCATAAAAGTGGGTGTGGTGCTGAGGTGGTAAACAAAGCCTCACTGTGTTGACCTTTTCCCAGTGATTCACTCTCAGCATGTTTCATGACACACAGAGAACCACCAGAGATGACTAATGCGCTGGCTTTGATTTCAAAGCTCTTTGTACCTTTGTGGCACTGACGTTCTCTTCACTTCTATGCTCCAAGACAAAGACTGATTCAGAGAAAAATATTGTGCAAATCAGAATTTTCCCAGGATATAGTCCTTATAATGGATATTTTGCTTAGGCCTTTTAGGCTTATAGGGGCAAACACAGAAACGACTGTATATTAATTACATTAAATGTCAGAAACCTAAACTAGTTCTTTTTCAATTAAAATAAATAAAGAAATATACTGTATTCGAAAAGCCTTAACTAAGTTAATGCCATCTTTAAATGTTGCTCATCAAACAAAGTGACTGTAAAACAAGACAAAATATATGCACTCACTAACTGTAAGTGGCTCTGGATAAGAGCATCTGCTAAATGACTAGAATGTAAATGTAAGATGGGGCACATACAGTACAAGCACTCACAAGTCCCCCAGTGGTGTTACAGAGGCACTTCACTTCTTTACTCAATCAAGATCATTTAACTGGTTGGTTGATTCAATTTATACATCAATGCATCTCTGATCATTTGCTTTCAGGGCAGTAAACTCTACTTGGATTAGGCAATCGTAAGTTGCTGGAATCGCTCTCATTCTATATCTACAGCAAAATAGACAACATTACTTTGTTCACTGAGGACCAAGGATTTAACTGTAACCTCATTGTTTGCCTATTAAAGACAGCAGTGTTTCCTCTGGGTTTGCCTGGTAGGCACAGGAGTTAGAGAAATTCTCACAAGGCTCACTGCAATCCTTGACCAAATCACCTATGTTAATCTAAGCAAATTCCACAACCTCTCTTACCCTCCTTTGAGGATCAGTGTCACTCTCATGGCGGTCTGTCGCCTCACTGGGGGAGGGACTGCCGAGGTCTGTGGACTTCTCAGAGCCAAACCTGATGAAGAGAAACACACATATCCCACAAGACCGGTAATGACAATGGGAGAGTCATAAAAGGACTGAGACAAAAACAGGCAGACTGAAGGTGGTGAGGAGCTCCTACCTTTTGGTCAGGTCAGGGGGCAGAGGGCGGGGCTTGAACGGTGGTTTAACAGCTGGGGTCTGAGCAGGTGGCATAACAGTATCTATTGTTAGCTTCTTGATTCGCTGTTTAACACCACCCAGTGGTACATCTACCTCTGGGACTGGCTGCACTGGAGAGTGAGGCTCCAGTCCTTGAGCAGCAACACAGAGAGGAACTACAGGAGAGGAGGAATCAAGCAAGAGACTGATCCGTCTCTTAATGCTTCCTCCACCCTTTCCCTCATCCTTCACTTCCTCTTTTTTCTTCTCGCTCCCTCGTGCTAGGGCTGAAGGCTTACTGTCTGGGGCCGGTGGTGTAGCAGCGGTCCCCTCTGCTTCCTTCTCCCTCCTCCGTAGCAGTGCCCCCTCCTCTGGAGTGTTTTCCTTGCTGCCGGTCTTGGCAGGATGGCCGCGGTGCAGCGACAGGCCAATGGACTCAAACTTGGAGGTGAGGTCGGCTGAAAGGGGCCGTCTCCCTACCCAGCGATCAGCTGGGGTGGACGACTCCAGCTGAGTGGGAGAGGGCAGGAAGATGGCCGACACAGGTCTGGGTCTGGAGCCTGTAGACTGGGGTCGGAGTTGGACTGTGACCTCTGGCCCTTCATCCCCCTTCCTCTCCTCCCCCTCTAGCCCTATCTGACGGAGGAAGCCCATTGACTTGGCTCTGGTCAGAGAGGCTCCTCCAGCTCTGATACTAGATGCTGTTTTGCCACATTCCTTCTCCTGTTTGGTGGATCCGGACCATTCTGCTGAAGGGGGTTTCTTAGGGCCTTGTGAGTGGGACAAGCCTGCCGCAGCTGGCTTCTGACGCCCCACCGGTTGGGAAGGAGTTGGTTTGCTGGGGTCCCCAGGGGTTAGAGGGGTGGGTTTGAAGGGCTGGGCTACAGACCTGGTGGTTTGTCCCATGCTCAACTTGGGAGAGGGTTTGTAGGAGGTAGGAGCAGGACGGCTGTGGTTGGTCGACACTGGCCTGTGTTTGCTGGTGACATTCGGCTGCTGAGGTTTTGGACCACTGGGAGGGTCAGGTTTGTAAGAAGTAAGGCGAGTGGGCTCTGGTCGGGGCTTGGTATTAGGCTTAGGAGCAAGTATGGGCCGGATGGTGGGGGTTTTCTCCACAGCGAAAGGTTTGGGAGTGAGCCGTGGTTTGGGTGCAGGGACAGGCTTACTGGGCTCTGGAGTGATGATGAGGGAGCCCTGGGTGTTGGAGGGGCCCTCTGTTAGGCTCTTGTTGCTGGAGTCAGCCAGAGGGCTGAGGTGCAGTCGCCCCCCTACACCCGTCCTTCCCACCTCCCCAGTCTGTACCTCCACTTGTGCAGCCATCCTTGTGATAAACGCCTAGAGAGGAATGTACAAATATCTATCAGCAACCTTGGCCATTAACTGTACTTCTAGCAGTAAAACCATAAACCAAGTTCAATAAATAATCTATACTACTCAGTGAGTCCTACTGCCACTTCTCTCTCTGATGAAATGCAATGACTGTACTAGGACTGGTGCCTTTAAAATCAGGAACATGGGAGAACCAAGGCAGACTTTACTTCCACTATCTGGGCATTACTCTGGACTTTACCTTGGGAGGCGTCATGCACACAGATGTGGCTGGCTGCTCTAGAAGCAGATGTGCAGTTAAAACAGAGGCCATTCATCAGTATGGCAGGCCTCAGCCAGGGGGAGAGAGAGAGATACATCTCCTCTGGAGGGTTCAGTTCCCTGGATATGGGAAGGGTTCAGTTCATTGGCAGCATAGCTAGCGAACCTCTGACTACTTCTACAGGTGAGACAGCAGAAATCCTGACAACTCAATGACTGTCTGGTGGTTGTTTTGAGGATCAACAGTAATCTGAAGATTACAGAGCTGCATCAGACAGCAGTAACAGAGAGGCAGAGGCAGGAAGGCTCACTCTCCTAGGAGTCGCATTGTTGTCTTGTCCATTGAGTCAGTGTTGTAATGCAGGACAGGTCTGACCTATGGCAGTAAAATGAGAATTCCATTGAAAAACAATGAGTAATTAGATATTCTGCTCCACCCCCACTAAAAGTATCTCTAAACTTGATAGACTCCTATTGTGACTGGTTATCAGAGAATTGTGATCACTTGAGAGATGTCTTGTGGTTGTACATAAGGGATAAGTATGTAATAACTATAAACACAGTCAAACCAGATGTTCCCTCATGAAAAGGGAGAGCAACAACTTCAACAAGTAGATATTTTTGGTGGGCTCCTGCAGATCTGATAATGTATTCCACATGTTCTTCTCTTGAGTTAGGCTACTCTGTAACATATTGACTGCTCGCCTAGGGTGAGAGAGGAACGCACAGTAGTAGTGCGCGGGTCAGCTTTTTGTTCACCCACACCCACCCGCATTTTTTGGGGAAATTTTGTATTTTGTTTTAATTTAGTGGGTAGATCAGCTTTAATATTGCAGATAGATTGTAACTTCCATCAATGTAATTGTCTGCATCACTTCCAATCCCCAATATGTTTTTCCCCACAAATAAATAAATAAATAAATAAATAAAATATACACACACACACACACACACACATATATATATATATACAGTGGGGAGAACAAGTATTTGATACACTGCCAATTTTGCAGGTTTTCCTACTTACAAAGCATGTAGAGGTCTGTAATTTTTATCATAGGTACACTTCAACTGTGAGAGACGGAATCTAAAACAAAAATCCAGAAAATTACATTGTATGATTTTTCAGTAATTAATTTGCATTTTATTGCATGACATAAGTATTTGATACATCAGAAAAGCAGAACTTAATATTTGGTACAGAAACCTTTGTTTGCAATTACAGAGATCATACGTTTCCTGTAGGTCTTGACCAGGTTTGCGCACACTGCAGCAGGGATTTTGGCCCACTCCTCCATACAGACCTTCTCCAGATCCTTCAGGTTTCGGGGCTGTCGCTGGGCAATACGGACTTTCAGCTCCCTCCAAATATTTTCTATTGGGTTCAGGTCTGGAGACTGGCTAGGCCACTCCAGGACCTTGAGATGCTTCTTACGGAGCCACTCCTTAGTTGCCCTGGCTGTGTGTTTCGGGTCGTTGTCATGCTGGAAGACCCAGCCACGACCCATCTTCAATGCTCTTACTGAGGGAAGGAGGTTGTTGGCCAAGATCTCGCGATACATGGCCCCATCCATCCTCCCCTCAATACGGGCGAGTGGAGTTTAGACCAAAAAGCTATATTGGACCAGGCAAGGAAGGCATTAATCAGAGAGGCAGCAAAGAGACCAAAGATAACCCTGAAGGAGCTGCAAAGCGCCACAGCGGAGATTGGAGTATCTGTCCATAGGATCACTTTAAGCCGTACACTCCACAGACCTGGGCTTTAAGGAAGAGTGGCCAGAAAAAGTTGCTTAAAGAAAGAAATAAGCAAACACGTTTGGTGTTCGCCAAAAGGCATGTGGGAGACTCCCCAAACATATGGAAGAAGGTACTCTGGTCAGATGAGACTAAAATTGAGCTTTTTGGCCATCAAGGAAAACGCTATGTCTGGCGCAAACCCAACACCTCTCATCACCCCGAGAACACCATGTTTTTCATCGGCAGGGACTGGGAAACTGGTCATAGATGGCGCTAAATACAGGGAAATTCTTGAGGGAAACCTGTTTCAGTCTTCCAGAGATTTGAGACTGGGACGGAGGTTCACCTTCCAGCAGGACAATGACCCTAAGCATACTGCTAAAGCAACACTTGAGTGGTTTAAGGGGAAACATTTAAATGTCTTGGAACGGCCTAGTCAAAGCCCAGACCTCAATCCAATTGAGAATATGTGGTATGACAAAGATTGCTGTACAACAGCGGAACCAATCCAACTTGAAGGAGCTGGAGCAGTTTTTCCTTGAAGAATGGGCAAAAATCCCAGTGGCTAGATGTGCCAAGCTTATAGAGACATACCCCAAGAGACTTGCAGCTGTAATTGCTGCAAAAGGTGGCTCTACAAAGTATTGACTTTGGGGGGTGAATAGTTATGTACGCTCAAGTTCTGTTTTGTCTTATTTCTTGTTTGTTTCACAACAAAAAATATTTTGCATCTTTAAAGTGGTATGCATGTTGTGTAAATCAAATGATACAAACCCCCCCAAAATCCATTTTAATTCCAGGTTGTAAGGCAACAAAATAGGAAAAATGCCAAGGGGAGTGAATACTTTCGCAAGCCACTGTATAAGACATGTCTTTGTCCTGGAAAGTTTGCTGTTACTTACAACAGTCATACTAATCACATTAGCGCACGTTAGCTCAACCGTCCCGTATACGGGACACCGATCCCATAGAGGTTGAAGGATTTTTGTACCAATCTAAATTTGACCCAGTTGATTACAAAGCCTTCTCGTCCAAACTTAAAGGACCCTACGAAATCGACGTTGATTGACCTCATATTTACAAATACTCCAGAGAACTATGCTGGGAGTGGGATATTTGCTTAGGATATTAGTGACCACTGTCCCATTGTATGTGTCAGGGATATATGGATGCCTAGATCCAAACCTTGTTTTCTCAACGAGAGGAATTTGAATGAACAGGCCTTTTTTTGTGAGCTTTATTTTGGTGACTTTGATTGTATTACATCTATACCTGACCCAGAGTTGGCTCTGAACCACTTCTCAAATGTTTTCAATTGTATTGTAGATAAACATGCTCCCTTTAAACTGAGAATTAAAAATAGGTCTTGCCCTTGGTTCAGTCCAGAGCTATCTGAAGTCATACACAACAGAGATGCTGCCTGGGCCAAAGCTAGATTCACAGACTCGGGCCCAGACTGGCAGTCTTTCAGGCGATTGAGAAATCTGTGTGTAAAACTAGTTTAAAAAGCTAAATCAGATTATTATGTTAATACACTATCTGAATGTACAGGGAACACAGCTACATTTTGGAAAGCTGTTACGTCACTGAAGGGTTGTGTCTCCTCTTCTCTCACCCAATAAATTAATTTAGATTCTGGCACTATTACTGACAAAATGTATATCATTAATGCATTTAATCACTACTTTATCTCTGCGGGCTATACAGTGGGGGAAAAAAGTATTTAGTCAGCCACCAATTGTGCAAGTTCTCCCACTTAAAAAGATGAGAGAGGCCTGTAATTTTCATCATAGGTACACGTCAACTATGACAGACAAATTGAGAAAAAAATCCAGAAAATCACATTGTAGGATTTTTAATGAATTTATTTGCAAATTATGGTGGAAAATAAGTATTTGGTCACCTACAAACAAGCAAGATTTCTGGCTCTCACAGACCTGTAACTTCTTCTTTAAGAGGCTCCTCTGTCCTCCACTCGTTACCTGTATTAATGGCACCTGTTTGAACTTGTTAACAGTATAAAAGACACCTGTCCACAACCTCAAACAGTCACACTCCAAACTCCACTATGGCCAAGACCAAAGAGCTGTCAAAGGACACCAGAAACAAAATGGTAGACCTGCACCAGGCTGGGAAGACTGAATCTGCAATAGGTAAGCAGCTTGGTTTGAAGAAATCAACTGTGGGAGCAATTATTAGGAAATGGAAGACATACAAGACCACTGATAATCTCCCTCGATCTGGGGCTCCACGCAAGATCTCACCCCGTGGGGTCAAAATGATCACAAGAACAGTGAGCAAAAATCCCAGAACCACACGGGGGGACCTAGTGAATGACCTGCAGAGAGCTGGGACCAAAGTAACAAAGCCTACCATCAGTAACACACTACGCCGCCAGGGACTCAAATCCTGCAGTGCCAGACGTGTCCCCCTGCTTAAGCCAGTACATGTCCAGGCCCGTCTGAAGTTTGCTAGAGTGCATTTGGATGATCCAGAAGAGGATTGGGAGAATGTCATATGGTCAGATGAAACCAAAATATAACTTTTTGGTAAAAACTCAACTCGTCGTGTTTGGAGGACAAAGAATGCTGAGTTGCATCCAAATAACACCATACCTACTGTGAAGCATGGGGGTGGAAACATCATGCTTTGGGGCTGTTTTTCTGCAAAGGGACCAGGACGACTGATCCGTGTAAAGGAAAGAATGAATGGGGCCATGTATCGTGAGATTTTGAGTGAAAACCTCCTTCCATCAGCAAGGGCATTGAAGATGAAACGTGGCTGGGTCTTTCAGCATGACAATGATCCCAAACACACCGCCCTGGCAACGAAGGAGTGGCTTCGTAAGAAGCATTAAGGTCCTGGAGTGGCCTAGCCAGTCTCCAGATCTCAACCCCATAGAAAATCTTTGGAGGGAGTTGAAAGTCCGTGTTGCCCAGCGACAGCCCCAAAACATCACTGCTCTAGAGGAGATCTGCATGGAGGAATGGGCCAAAATACCAGCAACAGTGTGTGAAAACCTTGTGAAGACTTACAGAAAACGTTTGACCTGTGTCATTGCCAACAAAGGGTATATAACAAAGTATTGAGAAACTTTTGTTATTGACCAAATACTTATTTTCCACCATAATTTGCAAATAAATTCATAAAAAATCCTACAATGTGATTTTCTGGGAAAAAAAAATCTCATTTTGTCTGTCATAGTTGACGTGTACCTATGATGAAAATTACAGGCCTCTCATCTTTTTAAGTGGGAGAACTTGCACAATTGGTGGCTGACTAAATACTTTTTTTCCCCACTGTATATTTGAATGTATTTCAAAGCCAGCTCTTGAAAATAGTAGTTTGGATGTTGATGGTGAAAATCTATTGAATGATACTGAAAATGCTGGTCAGGAGTTTTATTTTCAGAAATTCACTAATAAAGAAGTCCTGGATGCTTTGCTAACATTAGACCAAAAACAAATCCACAGGGGCTGATCATTTGGAGCCTGGTCTGCTTAAGTGTGCAGCTCCCTTTATTGCTGGCTCGGTAGCCCACATCTTTAATTTAACATTGTTATCAGGAAGTATTCCAAAAGCATGGAAATCTGCATATGTGCTGCCACTCCATAAGGGTGGGGATACAAATGATCTTGACAACTATCGCCCCATTTCAAGACCACCTTGTTTAGCTAAGATTCTTGAATCCTTGGTTAATGTACAACTTGGTTAATTGTATTTTTAATATAAACCAATCAGGGTTTAAGCCTGGGCATAGTACTACCACAGCAACCACGCTAGTTGTTAATGATCTTGTCAATGCCTTGGATGCTAAAAAGAGCTGTGCTGCCTTGTTTATTGACCTGTCAAAGGCATTCGACACTGCTGATCATTCTGTTTTACTGGAAGAAGTTATCAAGAACAGGCCTGGAATATACAGCCTGTTTATGGTTTTAGAATGATCTTAGCAACAGAACTCTGAATTTCTTGAGACTCAAAAAGGTGTTCCTCAGGGTTCGATTTTGGGTCCATTATTGTTCACCTTGTATATTAATGACATAAGAAACATTGTTAATACTTGTAACATTCATCTCTATGCAGATGACACAGTTTTGTATTCCTGTGCCAACTCAGTGCAGCAGGCCATTCGTGAACTTCAGCATGACTTTGATTCAGAAATCACTTACAGATCTTAAATTAGTGTTAAATACAAGTATAACCAAGCTCATGCTGTTCTCTAGGTCACAAAATCTTGACCCTGAGGACCTACATATTTGCGCTACAAATGGAGCCCAAATTGAACTTGTTTCTCAATACAAGTACCTGGGTGTCTGGATTGATGACAAGTTGTAAGTTCGTAAACGCATATAGAAAATCGAACTAAGAAGCTAAGATCCAAGATTGTTTTTTTTATATCTAAATAAATCATGCCTCAGTATTGAAAATAGGAGAAAGATTGTTCAAACAATGCTTCTCCCTGTATTGGATTTTGGTGATATTGTTTACATGCATGCAGCAACCACTGTTTTGAAACCCTTGGACACAGTCTACCATTCCGCAATACATGTAATGTATACAGGGCTCTCTTGAAAAATAGATTTTTAATCTCAATGTGACTGTTTAAATAAAGGTTACATAAAAAAAAATGATATGTTGCCCTAGAATACTAAATAAACTCTTGCTCACCAGAATAACATCATAAATCGATAGAATGAATGCTAGTTGACATCTGTAAAGTTCTGTCATCTCTGCTTCTTTTGTGGAGCAAAGACGTTTAGGGACCAGGGAGAAAATGCAATAAAAAAAGTAATTTCTGTGCAATATTTCCAAATCACATCAGTTTGACCGGTTGTAAGGAAATAAAACGCTGTGAAAACGATATAAATAAAATAAAATGTTATTGGTCACATACGTGTTTAGCAGATGTTATTGCGGGTGTAGCAAAATGCTTGAGTTTCTAGCTCCGACAGTGCAGTAATATCTAACAATTTCACAACATATACCCAATACACACAAAATTAAGTAAAGCAATGGAATTAAGAATATATAAATAAATATATGGACGAGCAATGTCCCAGCTTTGATGCACCTGTACTGACCTCGCTTTCTGGATGATAGCGGGGTGAACAGGCAGTGGCTCGGGTGGTTGTTGTCCTTTATGATCTTTTTGGCCTTCCTGTGACATCGGGTGCTGTAGGTGTCCTGGAGGGCTGGTAGTTTGCCCCCGGTGATGCGTTGGGTAGACCGCACCACCCTCTGGAGAGCCCTGCGGTTGCGGGCGGTGCAGTTATCTGTAAAAGTTTGAGGGTTTTAGGTGCCAAGCCAAATTTATTCAGCCTCCTGAGGCTGAAGAGGCACTGTTGTGCCTTCTTCACCACACTGTCTGTGTGGGTGGACCATTTCAGTTTGTCAGTGATGTGTACGCCGAGGAACTTGAACCTTCTCCACGGTGGTCCCGTCAATGTGGATAGGGGGGTGTTCCCTCTGCTGTCCACGATCATCTCCTTTGTTTTGTTGATGTTGAGTGAGAGGTTATTTTCCTGGCACCACACTCCCAGAGCCCTCACCACCTCCCTGTAGGCTGTCTCGTCATTGTTGGTAATCAAGCTACTACTGTTGTGTCGTCTGCAAACTTGATGATTGAGTTGGTGGCGTGCTTGGCCACGCAGTCATGGGTGAACCGGGAGTACAGGAGGGGGCTGAGCACGCACTCTTGTGGGGCCCCTGTGTTGAGGATCAGCTAAGTGGAGGTGTTGTTTCCTACCTTCACCACCTGGGGGCGGCCCGTCAGGAAGTCCAGGACCCAGTTGCACAGGGCGGGGTTCAGACCCAGGGCCTCGAGCTTAATGATGAGCTTGGAGGGTACTATGGTGTTGAATGCTGAGCTATAGTCAATGAACAGCATTCTTACATAGGTATTCCTCTTGTCCAGATGGGATAGGGTAGTGTGCAGTGTGATGGCGATTACATCGTCTGTGGATCTATTGGGGCGGTAAGCAAATACCGATATGATCCTTGACTAGTCTCTCAAAGCACTTCATGATGACAGAAGTGAGTGCTACGGGGCGATAGTCATTTAGTTCAGTTACCTTTGCTTTCTTGGGTAACATGTTTCTGATAAGATTTCAGTTTGGCTTGAAATCATTTGTGTGGTTGAAATACTATCAGCTTTTATGATGATAATAAAGATAGTACCTCTAAAGCAGGTATCTAACTGCGGATTCGCCTTCTCTCAAGACGCTGAAAGAAAGGAATAATAATTATCCACTCCTGTTCCAGAGTCAAAATGTTGCCTACATTTGGTGTATCATTTTACTGCAAGAAATGCTTAATTCTGCAGGAGTTCATATTAAGGCTAAGTGAGAGGTTATAGACCTACAGTCAGTGTTCTGACTTCAGTTTCCATTTAACCCATCTGAACAGTAGCCTACAGTTCCCTTGACGTTCCATAGGCCTATTTGAAGTCCCCGTCTTGTGACTGTCGAATTTGTATAGCATCTCACAATCATCACACATAACATAGGATGATAGCAGCTGGCACTGCTATCATGCTCTTTTACCACTTCACCAAATCTTTCCCAAACATTACTTTTATGGCCCTCCCTTCTCTTTATTTTCAACTCTCCATTTTGCAGCTTTTCTCTTATTGAATTAAACTCCGACATTGTCCTTTTTGCCTCTGTGGATTGATGTTAACTTTTTCTGCCCGTTCCCAAAAGCATTTGGCGATTGCTGTGTAGGCAATTTGGCGTGCGTACAGTTAGGCCCTAACGTTTAGGATTACGCACTAACACCAGAACTTTATTCAACCCACCCACCCGCAATTATCTAATTATGCTTTGGCAACAGTTTCCTCCTAGTAGTTGTTATGGGCAATCCCATCCTCACTCACCTGACTGGCTGTCAACCATCTGCAGTGAGCCCTGGTTTCTGTGGTAACCATGCAGTGATGTCATATCACATGATTAAGGAGTAGGAAGAGCCTGAGAAGAGAGCACAATTTGGTGTAATTTCGAAGGAAGGAACTGTTTCCTGTAGACCCTGAGGCTGCATACATCAAAGTATAGCATAGACCTCTACACTCTCATACCTCCCACCGGAAAACCATTTAGCATGTTTACATTAATGCAAACACACAGAATTAGACAAAGAGAAACACCATAACATACATTTTAAAGGACGAAAAACAGACTAACACAAAAATAGTAGATTTAACAACTTGCATAATAGATAGAACATGGAGAAGAAAAGAGAAGGAATAAGAGTTAAGGGAAAGAGTGTTCTACTGCTAGCAGGGGTCTGATAAATTGAGGCAGTGGTTGTTGACAGGAAACTGCTTTGCAAAGCTGTAATGCTAAACATGCACTGTATATGGAGGGTCCAGCAACATCAGGGACTGGAGCAGAAACCACTGGCTATACGAATTGCATTGCACAACCACCATTGCCCTTGCAAACAACTCATTTGCTTTTTAAAGTACAAACAACAAATTCTAATTCTCAATTAAATTGAGTAGGGACTACCTTTCAGCTAGAGACAAATTAGGAAAAAAAAGCTGAATGAGCTCTGCTATGAGACATTGATTCAAAATAAGCTAATCATAACTGGGGAAGAGAATACAGTAGATAAGCGTTTGACCTATAATTTAGAATGACAGTGAACCATAGCTTCTGTGCGCTCTGACTGAGAATCTGTCTTCAAGTAGAGTACAGTACACCTGCAGAGCTAAGGTTGAGATAAGGCCTAGAAGGCAATGATGCCGGTCCATAGATTAGAGCAATCCTGCAGGCTTTAAGAATGCATCTAGCCTTTCGAAATTAGATTAGCAAAAATCTGACTATAGAACATAACCTAACTAACCATGTGTGGCACACACGCACTTTACCAAAGAACTAGAGAGCAAAAGTCATTTGGGAGATGATGAAGGAAGAGATAAGATGATAAAAGAAAGCAGAGAGGAAAATATCATTAGAGATGACTATTAGGCATACCACTTTTCTCAACTAAAATCTTAATTAGGCTAAATGTATTTTTTGCAACCTGCTGCTGTCAGTGTGTGGTGCATGCACACCACTATGTCCTCTATCATATTGATACTGTACTATGTCCTCTATCATATTGATACTGTACTACATTTAAACTCAGTTTTTCACAATTCCTGACATTTAATCCTAGTAAAGATGCCCTGTCTTAGGTCAGTTAGGATCACCACTTTATTTTGAGAATGTGAAATGTCAGAATAATAGTAGAGAGAATGATTTATTTCAGTTTTTATTTCTTTCATCACATTCCCAGTGGGTCAGAAGTTTACATACACTCAATTAGTATTTGGTATCATTGCCTTAAATTGTTTAACTTGGGTCAAACGTTTCGGGTAGCCTTCCACAAGCTTCCAACAATAAGTTGGGTGAATTTTGGCCAATTCCTCCTGACAGAGCTGGTGTAACTGAGTCAGGTTTGTAGGCCTCCTTGCTTGCACATGCTTTTTCAGTTCTGCCCACAAATGTTCTATAGGATTGAGGTCAGGGCTTTGTGATGGCCACTCCAATACCTTGACTTTGTTGTCCTTAAGCCATTTTGCCACAACTTTGGAAGTATGCTTGGGGTCATTGTCCATTTGGAAGACCCATTTGCGACCAAGCTTTATCATCCTGACTGATGTCTTGAGATGTTGCTTCAATATATCCACATAATTTTCCTTCCTCATGATGCCATCTATTTTGTGAAGTGCACCAGTCCCTCCTGCAGCAAAGCACCCACACAGCATGATGCTGCCACCCCTGTGCTTCACGGTTGGGATGGTGTTCATCGGCTTGCAAGCATCCCCCTTTTTCCTCCAAACATAACGATGGTCATTATGGGCAAACAGTTCTATTTTTGTTTTATCAGAACAGAGGCCATTTCTCCAAAAAGTACGATCTTTGTCCCAATGTGCAGTTGCAAACCGCAGTCTGGCGGTTTTCGAGTAGTGGCTTCTTCCTTGCTGAGCGGCCTTTCAGGTTATGTCGATATAGGACTCGTTTTACTGAGGATATAGATTATTTTGTACCGGTTTCCTCCAGCATCTTCACAAGGTCCTTTGCTGTTGTTCTGGGATTGATTTGCACTTTTCGCACCAAAGTAAGTTCATCTCTAGGAGACAGAATGCGTCTCCTTCCTGAGCGGTATGACGGCTGCATGGTCCCATGGTGTTTATACTTGCGTACTATTGTTTGTACAGATGAACGTGGTACCTTCAGGCGTTTAGAAATTGCTCCCAAGATGAACCAGATTTGTGGAAGTCTACAAAAAAAATTCTGAGGTCTTGGCTGATTTATTTTGATTTTCCCATGATGTCAAGAAAAGAGGCACTGAGTTTGAAGGTAGGCCTTGAAATACATCCACAGGTACACCTCCAATTGACTCAAATTATGTCAATTAGCCGATCAGAAGCTTCTAAAGCCATGACATCATTTTCTGGAATTTTCCAAGCTGTTTAAAGGCACAGTCAACTTAGTGTATGTAAACTTCTGACCCACTGGAATTGTGATACAGTGAATTATAAGTGAAATAATCTGTCTGTAAACAATTGTTGGAAAAAGTACTTGTGTCATGCACAAAGTAGATGTCCTAACCGACTTTCCAAAACTATAGTTTGTTAACAAGACATTTGTGGAGTGGTTGAAAAACGAGTTTTAATGACTCCAACCTAAGTGTATGTAAACTTCAGACTTCAAATGTATGCCCTCTATCATATTGATACTGTAAATATCAGTGTTTCCCCTATATGCATTTAAAAGTGGTGCACCGCCGCTGCGAAATAGTGGCCGCCACCGAAAAAAACTACAAAAAACATTTTAAAATACTTTTCGGTTGGGTAAAAATGTTTTCAGTGTAAACTTAAACGACTAAAACCAAATATAAAGTAGGTAGAAAATATAATGAAGCAATATATTTTCTTTGAGAACTAACAAATCACCAAAATAAAAACTAGACAGTCAGGGAGAATCAAACATTCCCAAAATGTCATGGCATGGGCCAGGGTTTCGTTAGCCGGTAATTGCCGGCTTTTGTCTGTAATTTTTTTTTTTAAACCCGATAAATAGAATTGTCTGAGAGAAGAAAAGAAAAAAATCACATTGCGAAATAATGCTTTTTAGCCTATTCATTGGAAATACCAGTTGATCATGCTTATCGGTCAATGGGTTAATTTGCGTAATTTCATGGAATTAAATTGTCTCGTGTGTATATTCTTTATTTATCTCTCACACACACACACAGATACAGAGCCTTTTAGCGGAAAATCTGTCAGACAGCAGTTTTATAAGCCCAATCATTGCGCAACAATTCTAAATGCAATCGTGTGTTAAATAATTTTTTGGGCCCACCATTAAAAATAGCTAATATTTTTAATTCTCAACTGGTAACTGAAGCACGCTACCCATTCACCATTCAAATGCATAGGTAACGGAAGGCAGGCTTCATCAGCGTGTCACACCCCTTTGCAATGAGCTGGAGGCGATATGCATTTTGAAATCTACTTCATTGTTTAAAACCTGAATGTTTTACTACATATTATGAGGCATGTTTTACCTTGCTTCAAAGAAAACTAAGCAAAATCCTACCATATCCGTGAAGGCAATTATTTTATACAGACTTCTATATGCCATTGAAACCAGTAGCCTATTTCTCTCATGTTCTATTGGTTTTCAACTTTCTTTCATTGTCCGGTAGCCAAATGAACATTCACGCATAGCCTACTGCCTTGTGCGCATTGCTGTGCTAATAATGTTAAGAAATAATAGTTTATCAACATTTTAAGATAAACATTCTGATCTGTTGTATCAGACTCATTGCTTTTTAACGTTCTTTTTTATTTCGCCTAGGCCTATTGGTTGTAGGAATTTGGGATCTATCGTCCCATAACTGTCCCAGAGTCAGTTTGGAATAGGCTATTTCTTTCTCGACAAGCTGACCAATAGAATATATACACTTTTCTACTATGGGGGATAGTAGATCGACATAGGTGGCGAGTCTATAAGGCTCGGGGGGGAGCTTTCCCAAAGTAAATTGAATTAAATTGCCAAAATGATATAGCCCAATTATCCAACTCCTGTCTATACAGACATAAATAAAATAATTCAAAATAGGCTGCTAAAGCATGATTTGGCCACAGAGGATCATTAGCTTCCCCTAGCCTTAAAAACAATTTGTTCTGGATTGTTTGAATCATATTGCCTACAGTTGGAAGGTATGGTAACGTGCGCAATTTGGTCAGTGCATGCTGGAAATACCAAATAGATGATTGCTGAGTTGTAGAGAAGCTCAGCCAGGCATATCGCAATATTTCCAAATTCAACCACGGGAAAACAGTTTGGAAAGCAGATGGCTATTGCTGTAAAGAGAAGACAAATAAAATACTAAATCGGTCTTTTAGGTATCAAAATTCTCAACTTAATTGAGCGAACAACAGTAGGCCTATAGCCTATCTTATTGGCACCAGTGGAAAGCATCGACCATATACCCGGTGAGTGCACACTGCGCATATTCACCCTTTATCATTGTTGGGTTAGTGCCACTTAAAAGTTTGATTTTGGACAATAATTCCCTCCTCCAGATTAGATGGACATCATATTCTATTTGTCTCCCCTTCTCGTATGCTTATTAAAAATGGACAACGTCGTTTTTATTGATTGTCAGTGTCCGCAGAGTAGGCTACCCTGTAATTTGCCGTATTAAAAAAAATACTGCTAATGTCTCCATTCATATAAAGTGTAGTAGAATTGTATGAAATGTGTTTTTCCCATGCAAAGAAAGAAGGTATCTGATATAGCCTATAGCCTCCTACACTATATGCACTCAGCCATGCATTGAACTGTCTTTTTTTGCTTACAGTGATTGAGTTATATTATTAACCTAAATTATAACTATCCAATCTACTCATCATATTACGAATAGTAGGCTCTTACATAAGTCTGCAAATGCGATGATGCATGGAATGCTTTA